TATTTCTCTTTTTTTTTTCTTGCTTTTTTGTTGTTGTTGTTTGATTGTCTGGCACAGTCTTGCTCACTGCAGCCTCTGCCTCCCAGGTTCAAGAAATTCTCCTGCTTCAACCTCCTGAGCAGCTGGGATTACAGGCAGCCACCACCACGCCCAGCTAATTTTTGTATTTTTTGTAGAGATGGGGTTTTACCATGTTGGCCAGGCTGGTCTTGAACTCCCGACCTAAAGTTATCTGCCCACCTTGGCCTCTCGAAGTGCTGGGATTACAGCTGTGAGTCACCACATCCGTCTGAGTATTTCTTTTATGTTATTTCTTAGAATTTCCATCACTCTTCTTATACTGCCTAACTGTATTTGTGTGTGATTTAGTTTGTCTGTTAGAGTTCTTACCATATTAGTCATAGTTGTTTTAAATTCCTGGTCTGATAATTCACACATCCCTGCCATATCTGGTTCTGATACTTGCTCTGTCTCTTCAGACTGTTTTTTGCCTTTTAATGTGCCTTGCAGTTTTTCCCTTGATAGCCAGACATGATGTACTGGGTAAAAGGAACTGCTTTAAATAGGACTTCAGGAACATGGTAGTAAGGTATGGAGGAAGGGGAGCATTGTATAGTGCCATGATTAGGTTCAGTCTTTTAATGAGTCTGTGACTCTGAACTGTGAATTTCATCAGTACTTCCCACCACACTCCAAACCCCCTTAGGAAGGGCAGGATGGCCAGAGTGGGCTGGAGTCATATATTTCCCTTTCTCCATGTGGAAGGCCACAGCCAGCTGGAGTTGGGTATTTCACTTCCCTAGGTCCGTTAGACTCTGGTCAAACCCCAGGAGGTTAATAATAGTTGCTCAGCGTGGGCCTCGTTAAAAACAGCAGAATACTCTAGCATGTCAAAATACTTCCTTTCCTTCTTCCTCTTGGAACACAAGGAGGTTTCTTTGACTCACTGAGAAGACCTGGTTAAGCTCCTGGAGGTAAATCTCACAAAACTGTGTCCCACTGGGGATTTTTACTCTCAGACATGTCCACACTAAACCTCCACCAATTACAATTTAGATTTTTCTACCCAGCACTGGTTCCTGCCCAAGTTTCTGTTTGTGAGTGTCTGTTCCAGTAAGTTGTGATTCTCTGTATGTACTTTCTGTCTCTCCAGTTTTGGGGAGAGTAGTTTGCCCTGTGTGACCTCACTTCTTGTATGGATATAAGAAGAGTTGTTGATTTTTCAGTTTGTTGAGCTTTTTACTTATTAAGGTAGAGTGAAGCCTTCTAAGCTCCTTCCATACAGGAATAGGAACTAGAAATATTTTGCTTTTCCTTTACTAGTCTATCCTCATGTTCTGGATTTCTAAATTGTGAAGTCACAGAAATCAGTCCTTAGCTCGCTTCCTATTTCTATCTACAATTTCTCCTAAAGTGATCCATCACTTCCAGTCCTATGACCTCAAACATCATCTGATGGGTTCTGGTTCCAGGTAAGATGGAGTAAGCCCACTTCATCCTGTCTCTCCCACTGAACACAACTATAAAATTGAGTGGAATGTATGGAGCATCTGTTTGAGGACTCTGAAAAGTAAATCACAACAGGCAGCTTGGTGAAGAAGGTCAAAATTAAAAGTACCGTTGAGCTGTGGTTAATTGATTATTTTTCCCCTCTGATATCCTCTAACCTGAATGCTAACCTGCAGAAATCCAGAGATGAACATTGACCTGGAAAGAAAGTGCTCCAGGAAAAGCCCTTTAGTTCTGGCTCAAGGGACAAGCAAGGAACTCATGATGCTCATAGAGAGTCAAAACCCCTGTTTGGCTTTTTATTGCTCTCCATTCTCTCATGCCTCAGCTCCCAAGCAACACTAAGGCATCAGTAGCAGAGGTCACATGTAATGGGAGCCCACAGGAGCCAAAATTTTGAGGAAAGGGAATCTTTGGAGCTGCGATTCTCAAGAGAATTAAAAAGTCTGTTTTGGTTGCTCACTGTTGTGCTCTTTCTCTCTTTGAAACAGATGTCAGTAAATTTGATGATAAACTTGTCTAATCTGAACAGAGATAAAAAATTGAATAAAAATGAACAAATCTGTGGCCAGGCACAGTGACTCACTCCTGTAATCCCAGCACTTTGGGAGGCCAAGGCGGGCGACTCACGTGAGGTCAGGAATTCAAGATCAACCTGGCCAACATGGTGAAACCCCATCTCTACTAAAAATACAAAATTAGCTGGGCATGGTGGCACATGTCTTTAGTCCCAGCTACCCGGGAGGCTGAGGCAGGAGAATCGCCGGAACCCAGGAGGTGGAAGTTGCAGCAAGCCGAGATCATGCCACTGCACTCCATCCTGGGCAACAGAGCAATCTCAAAAAGAACAGATCCATAGGCATCAATGAGACAATAGCAGAATATCTAATTCACATCACTGGAGTTGCAGGAAGAGAAGAGGAAATATGTGATGTGAAAAAATTTGAAGAAATAATGGCTGAAAACTCCCCCATGTTTGGTGAAAGAAAAGCCCACTGATTCAAAAAGTTCAGTGAGCCCCAAACAGGGTAAACTCAAAGAAATACGTTCCAAATGCGTCACAATAAAAGTTGAGAATCAAAAACCAAGAAAAAATCTTGAAGCAAGAAACAGGCTTCAAGAATGACGCACATGCTTATAATTCTGAAAATTAAGGGAACTGAAATGCCAAAAGTGAAGTGAATTGATAATGACCAAAAGGGATAGAAAAACAGTAGGTTTCAGACAGGAAGAAAATGAGTTTTAATCTGAGGGGCCTTTGATACACACAACTGGAATTGCCCAGTAAGAAATTGAATGTAAAAATGTGGAGCTTCAGGGAAATTCTGAATTGGAAATAAGGATGTTTAAGTGATCATTGTAAATGGCACTGTGGAAACAGTGTGCAGAATAAAAAGTTAGGCTTCAGCGAGGCTATGCAGTCAGAACAAATCTTAACATCTCAGTGGAAGAACTTAATGAAATTGTGTTTCTGGCACACAGCACTGTCCAGTGCAAGTCATGCAGCCACCTCTGTCCTTAGCTTTGCCAACTGGAGCACATGCCTTCCAAGATCAACCTGGCTGGGGAGGACATTTGTTACTTACTTCCACTCCCCTTCCTTGGGCAAATTAGTCAATTGGCCCCAATCCAAATGCAAGGGAGGCTGTGAAATGTAGTTCCCCTGTATGTCCAGGAAGGGAAACTGGTATACCAAACACATGGCAATGTGCCTGTCACAAGAGCCAAAGGCAGATCCTTATGAACTTAGCCAGTGACAAGATAGAAGTATAGACAAGGTATGCCCACCTGGGCTGCTTATGCATTCATATCACAGTTTTAATATCTTGTAGTGGAAACAGAAATAATTGTCCTCAAATACCCATATCTGATAATCACAAAAACTGGGCTCTTGGTCTAAATCAGTCCTTCACCTGAAATATTCGTTCAGTGTCCTGTGTATCCCTGTCCCTATCACATCTGGGTCTCTGTAAGGTTTCCTCTGGCTCCAGCATTCGTTATACCTCAGGAATGCGATTGTCACACACAACTGCAACTGAGCTCTTCGAATAACCCTTCTCCACACTTTTGAATTACTTTGGGCTCTTCCCTTCTGTGATTTCTGTGAGTGTTTTCTCCAATCTGGATGTAGAAGAATGTGGTGCAGTGGGTCATTCTGAGTGACCATCTAGTTCCATATGCATGCCCTTATCTCATTTAGCATATACATCAGTTTATTTCAAAGAATGAAAATGGAAACTAAACTCATTTCAAGTGTTCCATTTATTCAGATTAATCTTTGCTGGATGGCAACTATATGCAGGCATGTTTTAAGACATGATGGAGTGGTAAACTGGGAGCTAGGTTTTCTAGTGGAAAGATGTGTAATATAATGTCAGGTCATGGTGAATACTATATAGAAAAGTAAAGCAAAACAAGGAAAGAGTGTTGAGGATTATTGGTGCTGTTTTAGATAGATGGTCAGGCACCTCTGTGAGAAGATAATGTTGGTACCAGTCGGCATGCAGCAAGAAGTGAGCTATGCAAAGACCTGTGGCGAGAGCTTGCCAGCCAGAGGGATCAGATAGGGCAAAGGCATGAGGTAGAAACAAGCTTGGCAAGGAAGCCAGCATGACTGGCACCAGAGAATGGCAGACTGTGAGACTAGAGAGGCAGATGAGGAAGTGCCATGTAGGCTTGGGAAAGGAGTTCAAGTTTTTGTCCAGGTGTGATGGGAATTTATCAAGCAGAGAAATGAGGTGGTCTTATTTACATGTTAAAAAATCACCATGGTGTGAGTGGAGAATTGACTTTAATGGGCAGAGGTAGAGGCAGGAAAGGTAGGAGATCAATTGGGAGGCTATAGCAGGAATCCAGGCAGGCACCAACCTATCCTAAGTAACATCAAAAAGAAAAGCTAGCTGGGCGTAGTGGCTCATGCCTGTAATCCCAAAACTTTTGGAGGCCAAGGTGGTTAGATCACGAGGTCAGGAGTTTAAGACTATCCTGGCCAATATGGTGAAACCCCATCTCTACTAAAAACACAAAAATAGCAGGGCATGGTGGCACATGCCTCTAGTCCCAGCTACTTGGGAGGCTGAGGCAGCAGAATCGCTTAAACCCAAAAGATGGAGGTAGCAGTGAGCCGAGATCCTGCCACTGCATTCCAGCCTGGCGACAGAGCAAGATTCCATCTCAAAAACAAACAAACAAAACCCAGAGCCTGCTGGGAAGGACCCTGTGTCCCAGAGGGAGGCCCATGATCCCCAACATCTATAATGTGCTGAGATAACTCCAGGTGGGTGTGTGTTCACAAAAGTTGTCGGAGTCGTAGGGAGGAGGAAGCACCCAAATGACCTCTGAATCAGGAAAGCCATCATAAAGAATGGATACCAGATTGCCTGGCAGACAAGCATGCAAATGGCATTCAGGGATGAGAAGAAAAGTTATTACAGAAAGAGCTTGTTTCTTCGTACTTTGTCAAACTTGGTTTTTTTTTTTTTTTTTTGCAGCTTAATGGAAGAAAAAAACATCATAGTAAAAGAATTTGAGAAGATACCAAAGCCAGGAGTAAGTCTTAGATTATATAGAGTTTCTTAAATACAGCTGGATTCAATCATCCCTTTTTATAAATATTAATGTTTATCCCAACAACATAGCCTAAAACATTTTAAAGATGGTAAAGTCTTCACTGTGAACGATGCTGAAAGGACTAGCTACATAACTTCTGGTATAAATATAAGTGGTGCCTATTATAGACTTAGCAACTTGGCATCTAATTTAGGCTGCATTTAGTTGGACAGTGTCTGCTTTGTTTCCAGAAGAAAAAAAAATTCTGTGGTTGACACTTAAAAACATTATTTTGCTATAGCTATTACCCTCTTAGGTCTGTGAACATCTCAAGTTATTACAAGAAATTTTTACAAAGAAAATGTATCATTTATGTATTCCTGCCTAACAACCATCCCAGAACTTAGTGGCTTAAAACAATTTCATACTTTTCAGTTCTGAATTCTTCTGGTCTGAGCTGGCTGAATTGGGGCCGGGAAATCTAGGATGGCTCCATTCATATACCAGCCATTTGGCAGGCTGCTTGGTCTGAGGTCACATTTCACTAGTTGGTCACATGATGGTGGAAGGGTTTCCAGCTTCAAAAGAGAGCAAACTCCAATATGCAAGACCTTCTGGGCCTCTGCTAAAATCGTTTTTGGTATTGTCCCATTGGCTAATGCAAGTATTATAACATGGCCAAGTCTAGAATCAAGTTGGCCCTACCTCTTAATGGGAAGAATGATCAAGACCATGCAAAGGGACATGGATGCCCTGGAAATAGGAGGAATTCGTGGGCACTTTTACAATCTATCATAGAAAGTAAATAGAATGATCACCATGCTTTGCACTCCTTCCACCTTCTGATAATCCAAAAGTGTGTTGGTGGTGGTTTAATTCCAAGGCCAGCCCACCAAAAACCTGCTTAGCATAGAGTAAAATACTGTTAATTCTAAATACGTATACCTAACCATCATTTGCAACACAGATTTTATGGGAAAAGCATTTTGAATTTTCATTCAGATCCTAGGATCACCAATGATGCTCTCACCCGGCAGCAGTGGAAGGAGAGAGCTATGCAGAAAGCCCAGGGAGGCTAAAGAGACCCAGCACTTAGTTGTCAGTAACAGTAACGTGTACATCTGAGTGTAAGAGGATTCTCTCCGATGAGCCAAACACTCCCCAAATAATCAGACATGAGACAAAGATCTCCAGTGATTCTGGGATAGAGGACATTTAGGGAGAACATGCATGAGCTAGAGAAGTAATATCCGTAAGAAAGTGGGGGATTAAGGAGTGCAAAGTGTTGGGCATCCAAATATGAATTCCTTTAACTTTAGTTCCCATGTGACTCAGGTTAACCATAAGTCAGATAGTCAAAGATAATTTGCATGTGATTTTGTCAGATCACAAAGCTACTAGAAAACAGACTGTACATTTTTTTGTCATGCTTCTTGGTATGAAATAAAAATTCATAAAAACGAAATGTTTGCCCGGGTGTCGTGGCTCACGCCTGTAATCCCAACACTTTGGGAGGCCAAGGTGGGTGGATCAAAGGTCAGGAGTTTGAGACCAGCCTGGCCAATATGGTGAAACTCTGTCTCTATTAAAAATACAAAAGTTAGCCAGGTGTGGTGGCAGGCACCTGTAATCCCAGCTACTCAGGAGGCTGAGGCAGAATAGCTTGAACCCAGGAGGCTGCAGTGAGCTGAGATAGTGCCATTGCACTCCAGCCTGGGTGACATAGCAAGACTCCGTCTCAAAAAAAAAAAAAAAAAAAAATGAAATGTTTTAAATGGAGGAGAGAAAAGAGCACTAGTAAAAAGAGAATTCAGATCTAATATTGTGTTTAATTATACATGTAGTATCATTATCATGCCTTTATTAAAGATGTCAGAAATCATAAGTTGCATTTAGCTTTGTGAGAAATCATTCATGAACCTTAAAACAAATATAATCAAAATGGTGAGTGAAATTAGTTTTAATTCAGTTTTTAGGTAGACAAAAGCTTGCTCATACTATATAAGCTAATCATCTTCATGACTTTTAAAGGAAATGGAGAAGAAGATGAAAATATTGAGAGAAAGCACTGAAGAATTACGTAAAGAAATAATGCAGAAGAAGTTAGAAATTAAAAACTTACGAGAAGATTTGGTTTCTAAACAAAAGCAATTACTAAAGGAGCAGAAGGAGCTAGAAGAATTGTTGGAACATCAGGTCATCCTAAAGGTGTGCTACTTAAAGTTGATATTTAAACATTGTGCCTTGCATGGATATAAAAATGTGTGGCTGGCTGGGTGTGGTGATTCACACCTGTAATCCCAGCACTTTCAGAGGCCAAGGTGGGCAGATCATGAGGTCAGGAGAGCGAGACCATTCTGGCCAACATGGTGATGTCTCTACTAAAAACACAAAAATTAGCTGGGTATGGTGGTGCACGCCAGTAATCCCAGCTACTCAGAAGGCTGAGGCAGGAGAATAGCTTGAAGCAGGGAGTCGGAGGTTGCAGTGAGCTGAGATTGCAGCACTGCACTCCAGCCTGCTGACAGTGAGACTCCATCTCAAAAAAAAAAAAAAAAAAAACTGTAGGTATCAAGAATAATCAGGAGGTTTGATAAAGAGGGGTTTTGTCTCACAAGGTGAAATATCTGCATTCCAGTTGATCCTATCAAACTAAATCTAGGCTCTGGGAATTCCCAAAAGACCATAAGGTGTTTAAGAGCATCACTCTAATTTAGAGCCCCTCACCCTGTGGAAAGGTCTTTCCCGACCTCACCAAACATTTTTGGACATTAGAAACGAGTGTCACAAACACAATTGTTTCCTCGAATAACAACCGTGTCCAGGTGTGGTGGCTCACACCTGTAATCCCAGCACTTTGGGAGGCCGAGACAGGCAGATCACCTGAGGTCAGGAGTTCGAAACCAGTCTGGTCAACATGGTGATACTCCGTCTCTCCTGAAAATACAAAAATTAGCCAGGCATGGTTGCCTGTAATCCCGACTACTCAGGAGGCTGAGGCAGAATCGCTTGAATCTGGGAGGTGGAGATTGCAATGAGCCAAGATTGCACTACTGCACTTTAGCCTGAGTCACAGAATAAGACTCTGTCTCAAAAACAACAAAACACACACACACACACACACACACACACACACACACACACACACACACACACACACACACCCCAAACGTCCTAACCTCTCTTGTATATTTTGTATTACTTTATCCTTGTCTCTTTGATCCCATTCCACTTCCTCTCACTATAAAAGGGATGAGAGGCCTATATTCTAGGAGATAATAAATTAAAATTCATTTTATTTTGAAAAATGTATAAATAACTCTCAAAATGGTCTAAATAACCTAGAGTCATTTTAAAAATAACATCTGAGACTCATTAGCGTAGGGGATAGTGGGGACACACTTTGACCTATTTTTCTATAACAGTCCTGGAGCAGTCAGCCAAGATGTGCCCAGATGCTGCCCAGAACAGAGGACCCGAGCAGAGATAGACTTAACAGGAACCCACTGAAGCTTAAGTGTCAGGCTCCTCACTTTCATGAACCTCTTTCAAGATGCTGTACCTAAGTTAGCCTTTACAATTTTTGACTCTTTCTCCTAACAAGGGCCCCCCAGATTGTACAAGTTTCAGCCTCACAAAATTTGATCTGCCCTGGAACTGAACAAGATCCCACAGAGAAATGTCTCGCCCACCACACTGCAGTGATGAATTCAACCTCCATGCATGTATGGTACCCCCGGCTCCAAAGTTCAATGACATCCTCAGGCAGGAAGGGCTTTTCTATAACCCTTGCCATATATGTAAGACTCTAGAGACTGGAACTGAACCTCCCATGAGTCTGCAGAGCATAATGGGAGGTGTGGTGTTAGACAAACTTAGCTTCTGATCTTGGCCTTGCCACTTACTAGCTGTGTGACTTCAGGAAACTTACTTAACTTCTTGTAGCATGTGTCTTAGGTAGGGCTTACCATAAACAGAGCCTAAGAGCACTACTAATGGAGAGAGAGCTCTAAGGAGAATCCTATAAGAGATAGAGGGAAGCAGGATGGAACTGGGGAAGAAGCTAGGCCAGAATACAGCTGCTTCGGGAGAACTCTAGTCTCAGCCTGATCTCATGAACTCATGAAGTCAGAATTGCATCACAGAAGCTGTTGCACCCAGAGGTGGTGGTAGGGGGTGTCTGTTAATTCACCACATCAGTTGGTAATCGGTCGCTGCCTGTTCCCCTCCTCCTTCCACCCCCCCCACCCCACCCCCCTACCCCCCCCACCCGCTCCTATTCTGGCTCCTCCTATTCCAGCTCCTATTCCTTGACAAGGAAGCTCTGCTCAGCCAATCACAATCCAGTGGAGAGGAGATTAAGCATGAACCATTAAGCAGTCACCCCTGCAGCATCTGAGGGATGAGTGGGAAGACGGTCCCCGGCTTATGATGATTCCGCTTATGATTTTTCTACTTTACAATGGTGTGAAAGCAATATCCATTCAGTAGAAAGCATATGTCAAGTCAAGTACCCATACAACCATTCCATTTTTCACTTTCAGTATTGAATAAATTACATTTTTTGTACTGCATTCAATAAGTTACGTTTATTTACTGTGTGGCACTTAACACTTTATTATAAAATAAGCTTTGTGTTAGGTGAAGTGTAGACTAATATAAGTGTCCTGAGAATGTAGGCTAGGCTAAGCTATGATTTCAGTGGGTTAAGTGTATTAAATACATTTTTGACTTAAGAGAGTTTCAACTTATATGGGTTTATCAGGACGTAACTCCATTGTATGTGGAGGAGCGTCTGTGCCTTTATACAGGAACCTGGGCAGAGGGACAGTATTTGTTACACTCAGTTACCTCCTTTTCAAAATGATAACAAATAACAGTGATCTTATAAGGTCATTGTGAGTATTAAATGGGACAATGAAGGCACACAGGGCAGATGGTAAGTATCTACACATTGTAGTTCCTTTCTCTCTCATATTTAGTGTTCTTGTCTTAATTGCTTCTAGTCCAAGACTGCATAATTTAACGTGATTTCATTTCTTTACTAGGATGAATTGGCCCACCATCAAACCATTCCGGTACAAATTGGAAAAGAGATAGAAAAAACAACACGCAAAAAAGTGTATGATTTAATGTTTTTACTTTGAGTCCCTCGCAGCGCAAGTTATATGTGCACACTAAAATGAGAGTATTAACCACTGGGCATGTTAAATTACTATTCTAATTTTAGAAATGTCTGCTTTTGGCCCTGTCTACGTTGTTTATACCAAGTTTTTTAAAAGAAAGTAATACAGCAAATTACTATCATTCATAATATTTATGGCTTAATTATGAGTCAAGATTCTGTTGCCAATTTATAAATCATATTTTTATGGAGAAGTTCATTTGACTTTAACAGAGCTGTGCATGGGATAAATTATGTGAGCTGGTTAGAATTTCATGGTCTAGAAGTATATCAGCCAGGCAGCAGCTCCAAGCCCAAAATAATAGTAACTCCCCACTTTGCCATCCATTCATGTATATAATACCCCTCAAATATTCAGAGTAGACTTGGAGGCAGAGGTCATTGAGGAAATTCTCAGTGTTTAGAGGAACCAAAAAAGATAAAGATTTTAACTAAAGATTTAAAAATTCTGGACAAATAATATGATTACTCTGGTGACTGATCTTAAGAGAAAAGGGAAAAATTAGGCAGGCACTAGTAACTGTGCAAAAAACCAGGCTCGCCAACACCAAAGTTGAGAAACTCAGGTCAGTTCCAGGAGGCGGGTCAGGATGAGGGTTGAATCATAGGAGATGGTAGCAAATTGGGGTCTGCAGAGAGGGAGGCTGGACAAATGCCTGCCTTCCGTGGCACTCAGTGGAGATAGCTTCCAAGTCCCACTCATCTGTGGTCTCTACCCACTGCTGAGATCATTGATTTTATAACTATCTCTTCTGCTGCCTGGCTACAGAGCAAGAATAGGTAAAGCCAAAATGGCCTCAAAATAAGGCAAACGTGTGTGTGTGTGTGTGTGTGTGTGTGTGTGTGTGTGTGTGTGTGTATCCCCTACAGAGAAATGGAAAAGAAAAAAATTGTCTTGGAACATGAAGTCAAAAAGCTAAATGACTCCCTAAAGAAAGTTGAAAACAAGGTTAGTGCTATAGTGGAGGAGAAGGAAGATGTAATAAAGGAAGTTGAAGGCAAACGGGCCTTACTTGAGATCAAAGAACGAGAACATAACCAATTGGTCAAGCTATTGGAATTAGCCAGAGAGAATGAAGCAACTTTGTTAACTGAAAGGTTAGTTATATTTATGTATGTTCTGTCAACTAAATCTTTCTTCAATTTATATTTGAGAATTCAAAACATAATCTCACTTTGGTATTGAGTCAATAAATATTCTTAAATAATTTTAAATCAGCTTTTATCATTAATATATTATCAAATAAAGCATTTTGAAGTATTTTTCCATATTCATAGATTTTCTCAATTTTCTGTTACTAAATTTTCAGGACAAAATCTGTTGTTTGTTGTAAATTTCTGAATGTGTCTTTGGAAAATAATACCCCTGGACTATGTTATGTTTAGTTCGGAGATTTTACCAACAAATGAATGATATTTCTGAGGCCATCTTGACTTTTTTTCTAATAGAAGCAATGTCATGGTGTAATGCCCTATGAGAGTTTTATGTCTTGCTTTTAAGTAAAATTTCAGGGAAACTGGAGGCTTCTATGTCTGCCAATCTGTTATTATTTTGCAGAAGGGGTGGTTATAAGGTTGCAGTTGTAAGTGATACCAACTCACAAACCTAGTTGCCTTGGGCATCATTTACTATTTATGATTCCAACATGAGAATAGTTGTGTATGCATATACTGAGCATGCTGTCTTTCATTAAACTTTTAAGTTCAGGGTCATACATACAGGTTTGCTATATAGGTAAACTTGTGTGATAAGGGGTTGTTGTACAGATTATTTCGTCATGTAGGTATTAAGCCTAGTATCTATTAGTTATTTTTCCTGATCCTCTCCCTCCTCCCACCCTCCACCCTCCAGTAGGTCCCAGTGTGTTGTTCTTCTCTATGTGTCCATGTGTCCTCATCATTTTCCTCCCACTTATAAGTGAGAACATGTGGTATTTGGTTTTCTGTCCCTGCACTGGTTTACTAAGGATAATGACCTCCAGCTTCATTCATGTTCCTGCAAAGGATATGATCTCATTCTTTTTTATGGCTGCATAATAGTCCATGGTGTATGTACCACATTTTCTTTATCCAGTCTACCATTGATGGACATTTAGGTTGATTCTATATCTTTGCTATTGTGAATAGCACTGTGATGAGTAAACATGCACATATATCTTTATGATAGAACGGTTTATATTCCTTTGAGTATATACCCAGTAATAGGATTGCTGGGTTGAATGGTAGTTCTGTTTTTAGGTCTTTGTCAGAAGAGATTGGGAGCCAATATTCAGCATGCTGTCTTGATAAGTTTTGAAAAACATGTTGGACAACTGATGACAAATTCACTTTCATTTTCTTCCTTTACCTGGAACAGAGGGATCTTGGATCTCAATTTACGCAACAGTCTCATCGACAAGCAGAACTACCATGATGAACTTTCTCGTAAGCAAAGAGAAAAAGAACGAGATTTTCGAAATTTAAAAAAGATGGAACTGCTCTTGAAAGTGTCCTGGGATGCCCTCACTCAAACTCAAGCATTACATGAAAGGCTTCTATTAGAGGTGAGTGCTGTAAACTACCATCTCATTTTTAAGCTTAGTGCTAACTTTTAAAGTAGAAATATTTTAGCAAGTTGTTTTTGCTGCCAAAAGAGAAGAAGAAAATAACAGAGAAAAGATAATTTTCAAATCCACAAGCCCATTATGAAATCTATAGTCCTAGTCCTGTAATGTTTTTTAGTCTCATTTTGCTAACCCAAGATAAGAGAAAGGTCTTGTTTGGATGAGTCATCAGTCAGCCTGACCTGGGGAACTGACTGGGCCATCCAGTTCTAGAAGAGCTAGAGGGCTCACTGCAGGATGGGGCCAAGTGGATCATTATCCTCACCAGTTGAAAGAGTCAGATCCAGGATTTTGTGTGTCATGGCAGACTATAACAGTGGAGGACTAGATCAGATTACATAGATACAGATGATCAGCAGCCCGCACTTCCAACTAGCCAAGGGCAATTCAGAACCCAGTGTCAGGCTGCCTAGCTAATTCTATGCAGGGTCAGAGCTGTACTCCAGTCAGAATATGCTCAAGACAACTGTTACCTGCCTCTGTGTTTCCAAGTGAGGGGTCTGGTTGCCCCTGGCTCACTTCTCTCTCAGAAGGCACTCTCTGTGCTAAGTGACCAAGCACCACTGAAAGGGCAGAGGATCCTGGAGAGGGCTGCAGCCTTGTGCTAGAGCCTTCCTCGGGTGAAAAGGGGATCAACCTCTGAGATGAAGCAGCTAGGTGTATAGAAAACTTCTCCATTCTCTTCTGGACTGTCATGCTCCAGAACCTTATGGAGGGTCATGACCTCAGCAATTTGAACAGGAGTTTCCATCTGTGGTAGACACTTCTGATTCTAACCTAGCCCAGTTCTCCTCTCCTCCTGGGCATATAGAAAGTTTATGCTTCCTTGCACCCTTTGCAGTTGAGCAGGGTCATGTAACTCATTCTTCCCAGATGATTGTGGACCAAAGTGACACATATCACTTCTAGCCTATAACATCTAATTGCCAGTGTGAGCTCCTCTAGCTGTTTTCCCTCTCCTGTGGTAATTGTGGAAGGAGTGATGCCATGGAGGTGCTGTAAAAGGGGAGCAGCCAGGAATGCTAAGCCAACAGTAGTCACAGAGTCCTCTTGATAGCCTATAGGCTTTGTAGGAAACAGCTTTGGTAGTTCGAAGCCATAATGTTTGGGGGTGTTTATTTCTGTAGCATAACTTAGCTTGTCCTGACTGAAAGACCAGCCTTAAGCAACAGGTGAAAAAATTGGTTGGGGTTATAAGTGTTAAAAATGACTAGGACTTGGACTTCATCTTGCTATCAGATGGCACTTACAATCTTTTAAAGAAGTTTTCTGGCCGGACACAGTGGCTGCTGCCTGTAATCCCAGCACTTTGGGAGGCCGAGGCAGGCAGATCACCTGAGGTGAATTCAAGATCAGCCTGGCCAACATGGTGAAACCCTGTCTCTACTAAAAATAAAAAAAATTAGCCAGGTGTGGTACATGCCTGTGATCCCAGCTACTCAAGAGGCTGAGGCAGGAGAATCTCTTGAACCCAGGAGGTGAAGGTTGCAGTGAGTCAAGATGGCACCACTGCGCTCCAGCCTGGGCAACAGACCCAGGTTTCGTCTCAAACAAAAAAAAAGAAGTTTTCTATCTCAGTGAGGCAAAATGTACTTTTATAGTCTTTTGCAAAACAAAATATTTATATTCTATATATGTGTTTTCATAAGTCATTATTATTTTATATAACTATTATACATAGTATATTTATGATATATATAGTTCTTATTTAATCATTTTATTGCAGTTCAAACAGGTAGATTTACTTGTATCGCTCAGAAATCTCTTTAACTCTACTAGTGCTTTTTGCCTTAAAAGGTTATTTTGTCTCTTAGTATAATAATATCAGTTACATTATCTTTTGGCGGGTTAGATTCTGCCTGGTATTATTTACTTTCACTCTTTTTTTTTCCTTTTTGGAAACAGTCTTGTTTTGCTGCCCAGGCTGGAGTGCAGGTGCCATCTTGGCTCACTGCAACCTCCACCTCTACCTCCTGGGTTTAAGTAATTCTCGTACCTCAGCCTCCCAAGAAGCTGGGATTACAGGCGTCTCCCACCATACCCAGCTAATTTTTTGTATTTTTAGTACAGATGGGCTTTCAATATGTTGGCCAGGCTGGCCTCAAACTCCTGACATCAAGTGATCCATCTGCCTCAGCCTCCCCAAAGTGCTGGGATTACAGGCGTGAGCCACCATGCCTGGCCTTATTTACTTTCAGTCTTTCTGTGTCCTTATTTTGGTGTGTCTCATATCCACAGCATATACTTCTCAAAATCTAGTCTGATAAGTTCTGCCTTTTTATTCTTGTATTTAGTCTAAAAATTAATATTTAATGTAATTGCGGATATATTTGACCTTATTCTATGATATTACTTTTGCTTCTCTGTGTCCTATCTGCTTCACATTCCATTTTCTCTCCCACATATCCTTCCTTGGGATTAATCGATGTTTCATATTGTTCTGTTATCCTTGTTTTAGATAAGCATCAGTTAGTTTTACATTCTATTTCTATTCTTTGGGTGGTTATCCTGAAGATTACAACAGTCATCTTTGACTTATTAGAGTTCAATATAAATTATTAGTATTTGTACTACTTCCAAGACAGTGCTAATAACTTTGATGATTTTAACTCTACTTACCTTTGCATCTCTTATGCCCTCAAAAATATTTTTAATCCAACTTTTCAAGTTATTCTTGTTGGAAGCATTGGTTTACTACAAGCCACTCCATCTCAGCCCGAAGCATAGCACATTAGGATGTTAAATTGGAACTTTGGGCAAACACAAACCCTGTGGCCACCCCACCTTTATAGTAGGCAGCAGATATAATGTCCATTCAAAGTATTGGTGGAAACCTGAATGAGATGAGTAGGAGACTCCATATATATATAATGTTTTTTTAATTGCATTTTAGGTTTTGGGGTACATGTGAGGAACATGCAAGATTGTTGCATAGGTACATACATGGCAATGTGGTTTGCTGCCTTCCTCCCCGTCACCTATATCTGGCATTTCCCCCCATGTTATCCCTCCTCAACTCCCCGCACCCCACTGTCCCTCCCCTAGTTCCCCCCAACAGACCCCAGTGTGTGATGCTCCCCTCCCTTTGTCCATGTGTTCTCATTGTTCAACACCCGCCTATGAGTGAGAACATGCAGTGTTTGATTTTCTGTTCTTGTGTCAGTTTGCTGAGAATGATGGTTTCAGCTTCATCCATGTCCTTACAAAGGACATGAACTCATCGTTTTTTATGGCTGCATAGTATTCCATGGTGTATATGTGCCACGTTGTCCCTGCCCGGTCTATCATCGATGCGCATTTGGGTTGGTTCCAAGTCTTTGATATTGTAAACAGCACTGCAATGAACATTAGTGTGCATGTGTCCTTATAATAGAACAATTTAGGATCCTTTGGATATATACCCAGTAATGGGATTGCTGGGTCAAATGGAATTTCTATTTCTAGGTCCTTGAGGAATCATCAGACTGTCTTCCACAATGGTTGAACTAATTTACACTCCCACCAACAGCGTAAAAGTGTTCCTATTTCTCCACATCCTCTCCAGCGTCTGCTGTCTCCAAATTTTTTTAATGATCGCCATTCTAACTGGCATGAGATAGTATCTCAATGTAGTTTTGATTTGCATTTCTCTAATGACCAGTTATGATGAGCATTTTTTCATATGTTTATTGGCCTCATGTATGTTTTCTTTCGTAAAGTGTCTGTTGATATCCTTCGTCCACTTTTGAATGGGCTTGTTTTTTTCTTGTAAATCTGTTTTAGTTCTTTTTAGATTCTGGATATTAGCCCTTTGTCAGATGGGTAGATTGCAAAAATTTTTTCCCATTCTATTGGTTGCCAATTCACTCTAATGATTGTTTCTTTTGCTGTGCAGAAGCTCTAGAGTTTAATTAGGTCCCATTTGTCTATTTTGGCTTTTGTTACCAATGCTTTTGGTGTTTTAGTCATGAAGTCCTTTCCTATGCCTATGTCCTGAATGGTTTTGCCTAGATTTTCTTCTAGGGTTTTTATGGTGTTAGGTCTTATGTTTAAGTCTTTAATCCATCTGGAGTTAATGTTAGTGTAAGGTGTCAGGAAGGGGTCCAGTTTCTGCTTTCTGCACATGGCTAGCCATTTTTCCAACACCATTTATTAAACAGGGAATCCTTTCTCCATTGCTTGTTTTGTGAGGTTTGTCAAAGATCAGATGGTTGTAGATGTGTGGCGTTGCCTCTGAGGCCTCTGTTCTGTTCCATTGGTCTATATCTCTGTTTTGGTACCAGTACCATGCTGTTTTGATTACTATAGCCTTGTAGTATAGTTTGAAGTCAGGTAGTGTGATGCCTCCAGCTTTGTTCTTTTCACTTAGAATCAACTTGGCTATGCGGGCTCTCTTTTAGTTCCATATGAAGTTTAAAGTGTTTTTGTCCAGTTCTGTGAAGAAGGTCATTGGTAGCTTGATGGGGATAGCGTTGAATCTGTAAATTACTTTGGGCAGTATGGCCATTTTCACAATATTGATTCTTCCTAGCCATGAACATGGAATATTTCTCCATCTGTTTGTGTCCTCTCTTATTTTGTTGAGCAGTGGTTTGTAGTTCTCCTTGAAGAAGCCCTTTATGTTCTTTGTTAGTTGTATTCCTAGGTATTTTATTCTCTTCATAGCAATTGTGAATGGCAGTTCATTCTTGATGTGGCTCTCTTTAAGTCTGTTATTCGTGTATAGGAATGCTTGTGATTTTTGCACATTGATTTTGTATCCTGAGACTTTGCTGAAGTCACTTATCAGTTTCAGGAGATTTTGGGCTGAGACGATGGGGTCTTCTAAATATACAATCATGTCATCTGCAAATAGAGACAATTTGACTTCCTCCTTTCCTAATTGAATACCCTTTATTTCTTTTTCTTGCCTGATTGCTCTTGCTAGAACTTCCAATACAATATCGAATAGGAGTGGTGAAAGGGGGCATCCTTGTCTAGTGCCAGATTTCAAAGGAAATGCTTCCAGTTTTTGCCTATTCAGTATGATATTGGCTCTGGGTTTGAGTAGGAGACAAAACCAGCAAGTGTTGCCTGTACTAATGAAACAATTCCTGTTTATTGATTAAATAACCATTCAGTAAGATTTCTTTAAACAATGGGTTAAAATGTATCATTGCCTTTAATAACCAATTTTGGTAGTTATGGTAGTAAGTAAAGTTAACCCATTCAGTATGTATCTAATGCTGAATCATCAAAGCATTCCTCTTAATATTGAATAATAAAGTACCTAAATAGAAGCAATAATTTGTCACATAAATTAATACGTCTTAGTGAGCTCAAAAAGGATTATACATTGATTTTGTTAAAATCACAAGATTGGTTCTAAAAGACTACACACCCAAAACAGGCATAGGTTCACCTCTGCAAGAAAATCTAGATTAAGTACTGTAGAAGGGAGGGACTCATAAACATAATATACAACGTGATCTTAGCAGTTCTACTCCTAAATACAAAATGTTGTAAAGGACCATGGTTTCTGCTATAACAGCCAGAAAAAAAATCAGTAAACTAAAAATCATATATTTTTCACAGACATATGCAAGTAGGAAATAAATTCCACAAAAGCATCATCACCTCCTGGTGAGCAGAGACAGGTGGCCTTTTCCTTCCCTGAGTCTTGCCAAGTCTAGGCATGGGCAGGTGGAAGATTTACCTGACATAGGCCAAAAGAATTTCTGGGGTTAGGCAAAACCATCAGAGCTTTTAATGACCATATGCATTGCCATGACAAACTGAAATTCCTTAAGCAAAGACATCATACTCTCATGTAATAATATCACACATTACAGTACACCTATGCATTTAAACATGCCTCTTATTGACTTCCACTTGGCATTGAAAAGAAAAAAAAAACATAATTCCTGGGATTTTGCTCTGACACTCCCCATCATGTTTTAGGGGCTATACTATCATGAGTCTATAAAGTTATTCACTTTCTAAACATAAGGTCATGTCCAAGATTGTGGCAATTACAGAATCCTCTTACCAAGTGAATATGACACTTTCTATATACTATAATTTTTCTTTAATTGTAGTTTTCTAGCAGTTTCATCTTTCTTTGCTTTGATTTAAAAGTGATTCTGCATTTTTCTCTCTTCAGGTCTCGTTTTCAATGTTTAAGGCAATGATAACAATATACTTTATTGAGGAGAGCTTTACTTTTGAGTCAGGCAGTGTCAGGTTCAGATTCTAGATCCACTGAATTCCTTCCTGTGTTGTTTCCAAACCTTTGAACTGGGATTATTGCAAAAAATGAGTGATTACAACAAATGGGAAAGTATATGGTATCAAGAATATACTCAGTAAAGATTGCCTTCCTTCCTTTATGCATATGAACTCTTTCAAAGCCTAAATGGTATAGTCAGAATAAGACTGTGAATATGGCTATTCTACTCCCCTGGGGAAGATGGCATCATCCAGCCCTACAGATGAACCCCGGAGATGCCTCTCAGTACCCACTCTACATTACCTGAATGACTGCAACTGTACACCAGCTGTTCTCTATCGGTCCAGTTTCTTTGATGTCCAGTTTTTCCTCCATTTTGCTACCAAATTTATAATCTTAAGTAACACATTCATGTGTCACTCACCTGCTCAAGACGTTCAATGGATCATTATTTCACATAATCATGGAATAAAAGAACCAAAAGGAATCATAAAGATCATACATTCTAATAAAGGCAAATAGGTTTCATCTCAAATGCCAGTTCCCTCCATTTGCGGGTAGCTCCCTATAGTTAGGATATGACAAAGGATTCTGAGGACCAGTGCTGACCTGTCAGATAGGAGCTCTGTAGTTGATTGGTGATGTCTGCCCCAGGTATAGAAAGAAAGATTGCCTATGTATTTCACATTCCTAATCAAGATGTCTTCCTAATCGAGTGCTGTTTCTTCAGCCGATTCTTTTGGTATATCTTCATACCCCAAGTAACATGCTTATGATGCTGCTACTTGAGTTTTCAGTTGTAGACTTGATCTTTGTACTTATCACAATAATAGACGATGATTCAGCTCTCTTTAGACTCCTGTTCACCACACATACATTTCTTGTCCCCCTGTACACACATTCTCATGTCATAATTTTGGTTAGTTCAGAATTTGGTATTCACATTATTATGAATATTTAAAGGTTATTTATACCTGAGCCATGTGATATTATATAATTACCCTTCCTTAAAAAATTTTTGTGTTCCCAGGAATTTATAAACATCCTGTCTTTACACTTTTATAGTTTCCTCTGTGATTATTAGTTCAATCCCAAATTCTTCTCCCCAATTATATAAATTTCCTCTCAGTATATTAAAACACATTTAATGACCTATTCATTTAATCTTCTTGAAGAGATCTCTTCTGAGCCTCATCAGTGACCTCTAGCCAAAAACTAACAGGAACACACCAGTAGCTGAATGAGCTGAGTTTATTACACATGGCAGCACGAGAGAACACACGCCATGGAGAATTGTGGGGAGTCTCAATAGAGGGTATTAGAAAGGACTTACAGGGTTTGTACCATATGACTTGAGGAATCATTTAAAGAAATGGGATGTTGCCCTGAATTTGAATGTTCTCAGGAAATGAGAGTAATTCTGTGGTCGAGTATCTTAAATTTTACCTAGAAAAAGAAAAGACTAGATGGAAGCTAAAGCTGTGATTGCTAAACAAAGCTGTACATGAAGAATTGATGGTATTTTGTGGCTTGGACAATGTTCATGTTTTTGTCTGTGTTCAAATACTATTATGGAGTGGCCTTGTTTTTTTCCTGATCCATCGCGATTACAGAGTGGCTTTGTCTGAAGTTGATGTTGTGGGCAATTGTTTATGTTCAACAGAGAATACCAAGGCCTACCTATGAGTGCCAGTTCTGCTCCTGGATATCAGGGGCTGCCTTTTTCTTTCTCAGCCTTTTGACTTGTTCCAAAGTAGTCCTGTTTCTCTATGTGCTTACCGCCCTGCTCTCATCTTAGGAGCCTTACTCCATCGTTTTGGTGATGCCCTTCATCTCTCTTCTGTGTTGGAGTCCCTATTTCTTGGATCTCATCTATTTTTTTCTCTTAACTTTCTTTTGGTGAAGGGGACATGCCTTCCAGTACCTTCTTGAGAAAATGTTAGTGAGAAGTAATTGTTTGAGACTTTGTGTGTCAGAAAGTATATGTCAGAAGACCTTGCATGCTAAAAAATATTTTACCTTCATACTAGCCATACAGACCATTAATACTTTAATCAGATATGGAATTTTAGGTTAGAAATCATTTTCCCTCAGGAAGAAGGCATTGATTAACTGTCTTCTAGCTTCACTATTAAGAAGATTTGGTGTCATTCCAATGATTGATCCTTTATTTGAAGCCATTTTTTTCCATGCTGGGAATTTGTAGGATCCGTTACTTGCCTCCAGAATTTTTACATTTTACAATGATGTTCCCATTGTATCCATTGTGTAGGCCACTTAGTGGGTTCTCTGTCTATAGAAACGTGTGTCTTTACAAAGTTCTGACACTTCATCTTGAATTATTTAATTTTCTCTCTTCTGCCTTAGATTCCTTTTATGCAGATATTGGACCTTCTACAACAGTCCTCTAATTTTCTTGTCTTTTATTTTCCATTCTTTTTTGTAATTTGACTTACAAAAAGGGAAATTTTTTCCTCCTCTTTCATTATGCTATCATATTTTATATTTCCATGTGCTCTGTTCTCTCAATGTTTTGTTTTCATAGTATATTTATTATCTTATCTCATTGAGGCTATTAATGATAGTTTCTTTATTCTTGTCTTAAATAAGACTTTATTTTTCTTTGTGTTTCTTCTGTATTTTTCTTTTTTTGTTGTTTATTTTTGTCTCTTTCTTATTAGAAACTTTCCTCCAATATATGGTAATTCTTGGCTATCTGCTTATATTTAAGCATGGGGTGCTATAATTCTAACTGGAAGCTGCCTGTGATGGTGAGACTTGTCACTGTAGTTTGATCTGACTGTACACAAAATACGTAAGGCATGGCCCTTGATCAAAGAAGAGTTTGCAGTGGAATGCACACAAATTGTTCAGATTTTAACAAATATTATAAAAGCTATTTATAATACGACACTACTAGCTATTAAGTTCACAAAATAGCACCCACAGAATATAAAACTGACAGAAATTAAAATGTATTAAAATCCGTTTCCTTCACTGATTTTAAGAAAAATCAGTATTTTTGTTCGAGTACAGTTTCAGTGAGAGACTAGCTTCCCCCAGTGATTTATAATTAACCCAGCCACCACCCACAGCTGGCTGTACTTGAAAATAAGAGTGGGTCAGGCCAGGCACTCCCAGCCCAAGTGAACATTTTCTCAGACCTGCATGCAGTCCAAAAATGAAAGAGATAAAAGGTAAACATGAAGAGCTCTAGCTGTTCTTCAGAATGTATTTTCCCCCAGAGACAGTTGTTTGATTCTCCTATGGCATTTGACTTGTACATAGAGACTCTCCCAGAAACTCAAGGGGCAAGCCTCATGAAAGTTTGAAATGCTTTAGAAAAATATCAGAGTGTTAAACTGAAGTTCACTGATATCAAATAATTGGGATATTTACAGTAACAAATAATGTCTAATTGCTTAACTTTTATGAAAGTTACCAATGATTATTCATGCATTGAAAATGTCTGGAAGAACAGATACCAAACCTATTAACAGTGACTCCTGGGGAGTAGTACTTGAAATAGCAGAGATAGGAAGCAGTTTTTTTTTTTCTTTACACATTTCTGTTGTTTGGTTACAATAAATACATTTTTAAGTGTGAAATGCTACACTATAAAAACTTAAAGAACTAACATAAGCTTACAAAACCTGATACATGCAATTTGGGGCTCAAAAGAAATGGTAACTATCTCAAGTAACTCCAGACCATGTAATTAGAACTTTGATACTTGATATTTTTTTCCTCCCATATTAATGGAGCGCTCAGTCTAACTCCAGCCTATTTTCCAGGTTACCTTAGGAAGGTTTCCTTTCAATAGAAACACCAGTTAGGTTAGGTTTGCAGTTTGGCTTCAAGTAACAGAAACTCAACTGTAATGGTTTTGCTAAATAGGGAGTTGTTTTACTCAATAAAAAGAACAGAGGTGCACAACAGATTATTTCACATAATGAAAAGTCTAGGATCCTTTTAGCTCCCCTTTCAGTACAACCTTAGGGTGTACATTGCTTCTCCATAGTCAGGAAATGGCTATTCCTTTAAGCATAAACTCACACAGAGGAGGAAGGGCAAAGAGCAAAAGGCGTACATGACTAATGGCTTGGCCGGCTTTCCCCCACCACCCCCCAGGACTCCTGGTTACACTGCAACTCTGAACAAAGATGGCATTCTGTTGCTGTCATGGTTAATACTGAGTGTCAACTTGATTGCATCAAAGGATACTGAGTATTGATCCTGAGTGTGTCTGTGAGGTTGTTGACAAAAGAGGTTAACATTTGAGTCAGTGGGCTGGGAAAGGCAGACCCACCCTTAATGTGGGTGGGCACAATCTATTCAGCTGCCAGTTTGGCTAGAATATGAGCAGGCAGAAAAATGTGAACAGAGAGACTGGCCTAGCCTCCCAGCCTACATCTTTCTCTTATGCTGGACCCTTCCTGCCCTCGAACATCAGACTCCCAAATTCTTCAGTTTTGGGACTCAGGCTGGCTTTTCTTGCTCCTCAGCTTGCAGGTGGCCTAGTGTGGGACCTTGTGATCATGTGAGTTAATATTTAACCAACTCACACACACACACACACATATATATACATATATATATGTATATATACACATATATATATGTGTGTGTGTGTGTGTGTGTGTGTGTGTATATATTATATATATATGTGTGTATATATATATATACATACACGTATATATATATGATATATATACACACACGTATATATATATATATATATACACACACACACACACATATATATATGTATGAGACTCTCCCAGAGAGTCCTATTAATTCTCTCCCTCTAGAGAACCCTAATACAGTTGCTAAGGTCAAAGTGGAGGGTGGCTATTGGCTAGGCAACCAGCAGGCCCTGCTACCAATGTCTCATCTTGTCACCTCTTCCACAAGCTAAGCCTGCCTAATTCCTGCCTGAAACTAGAAGGCTGGGTTTTATGGAGAATAGAAAAAGGAATCAGAGAAGGAGTAGCCAGAGTTCAAAAATGAACATAATTTATTACAGTATTGTTTGTGTTTCAAAATACTATAAGCAACCAAAGTGTCTGAGACCTCAAACCAGAAAAATCTGCCGAGAGCCTGTAGTTGACATAGAAGCTAGTGAGTGTGCTCTCATCATTTTTCCTATCAAAACCTTGTAAGAGTTCCTGGTCCCAGTTATCTTTCACATACAGATCTGCCTCTACCCAGGAGCTGAGCATGAGGACATCCCACTCCAGGCATGCCTGTAGCAGAGAATCAGACAAGGACCCAGGATGTCTGCTGGACTTCCTCTATCCAGGAGGGCTTAACTTGACTTTCCTAAAGGAGAAATCAACTCTTTGATGACTACTCACCTCTTCCAAGAAGGCTTTCCCAATTATTCAGTTCTATACTGAGTTCTCCCTTTTCTGATCGGCTATAGCAATTTTATGTTTGTTAAGTCCACAAAATTCTGTATATTGTTAGACATGTTTCACAAGACCACGTCTTGTTTTCCTGAGTCCAGTGTGTGTGTCTCAAGAGCTAGTGCTCCAGGGTAGGAGACCGACGGGAAAGCAGGACGTGGACACGAGGGTGCAGAAGGTGCTACTGAAGATGCCTGGGTTCATGGCTGATGAGGCATCCAAAGACACACTTTAGTGACGTTAACATAGCAGCATGATCCTCAGAAAGATCCTGTTAAGTAAACCTCAAGTCACTAGACAGCGTGACACTCCCTTCTTGGGTCAAATTTTGGCCAGTATTCAACCGTAGGACCTGCAAATGTGTGCTGTCATAATAGGAATTGCACCACATCAGATTGGAGTCATGTGCTTTTGGTGTAAATATCCAACTCTAAACTTGCTCTAAGTCAGCTAGGCTGTAAGCACCCCAAGATGACCCTTTCCCCATCAGCTGCCATGTGTCCTCCTCTCTGCTCTCATCTTTATCACAAAGAATCTGACACACTCATTCCTAATAGGGCCACAAAGACTTACAGTGTGAGATCTGCCTTCTCCCCGAAGTATGTCAACACAGGAGAAAAGTGTAAGCCATTACAACAGAAATGTAATGGTGAAGTTTTAAGTATCAATCAAAAAGTTGAGGCTTTTCTTTTGTGTAAGAACTTTCAGGCTACTAATCAAATGACTACGTACATATAAGTAGCAAATGATCCCCACTATTGTTAATAAATTCTACTTTTTTCTTTATCGTATAAGATTTCATAAATGAACTCACACTTCATAATAATTTTCATTTGAATAGTCATAGTATATTCATGTCTTCAAAGTGCTGGGTCATGAGTTAGGCAGACCATGGGTTCCAAGTCTACCTCGCTGGGTTTGCACCTGCATCAAGGAGGCAGGTTGCTTAAATGTGTTTGTACCTCATTCTCCTCATCTTTACAATTGGGGAAAATAATCCCCATCTCATGAGGGGTACTATAAGGATGAAATAAGATCATATATATATATACAGGCATTTAGAACCTTACTTGGCACTTAGCTTATGCTCAATAAATGTTAGCTATTCTTAGTAAGGCTTATTTTGCTTCTAAATAATAAAACATTTGCAGCTGGAAAATTACAGTTTTTTGGCAGGTCTTCATATTTTGATTTGCAATGGCTTATAAAGAATATTTGGCATAAAAGGAAGTTCCTGTAAGATTGAGACTAGTGATTTGCCCACCATTTTCAAAAAGTGTGATGAGGTTGACTATATGGCAGTGAAGATTTATTTCTTACATAAATGCATGTTTTTAAATTTTGATTTCCAGATTGAAGCTGTCCCCAAAGATGATTCTATATTATCTGAGAGAAGGCGAGAGCTTCACAAGGAAGTGGAAGTAGCTAAGAGGAATTTGGTCCAACAGGTTAATATCAACTCTCATTTAAGCTTCTATCTAAGAATGATTAATACAGAGTTGTGTTTTTAACTGTGCTCCACAAAACCTTATCAATAAGAGAGTCATCGAAGAGCGGAGGATCCTGTTTAATGTGGGCATATTTCTTCATCTCAAAGTTCACTCTGATCCTATATTAAATTTGAGAAAAAAGAATATGTTTGAACCAGCAAAAAGTATTCAAGGGAATGAGATTTTTAAATTACGGGCTACTGGTTACATTAAAAGTAAACAGCAAATGTTTTATTTCACCAACGGCTGATTTCAAATTTTCTTTTGCTTTTATGTCTCTTCTTTTTCTTCATCACTGGAAAATACAGCCTGAATAAGAAAAAGTTCTATCATGTTAACCTACTGATTTTCACATTTTTTTACAAATAAAAGAAATGAAGCTAAAACAGTGGCATCACTTTTTTTAAAATTATTTTTTTGTAGAGAGGAATCTCACTATGTTGCCCAGGCTGGTCTTGAACTGCTGGCCTCAAGTGATCCTCCTGCCTCTGCCTCCCAAAGGCTCGAGTTACAGGCATGAGCCACCACGCCTGGCTTGTTTGTTTTAATAAAATACATTCTGTATAGGAGATGAAAAGGTAGTCTAAGTTACTAGCTTTATTGTATTCCTTCAAATAAATAAGTTATAATATCTGTGTTCTTTTTTTCAAAAGAAAATGCTATCAGAAATAGAGTCTAAGTTAGTAGAACAACAACTTGCAGAAGAAAACAAGCTTTTAAAGGACCAAGAACACATAAAAGAGCTAGTATTCAACCTTGTCCGCATGACTCAAGTCAAAATTGATGAAAAGGAACAAAAGTCCAAGGATTTCCTGAAAGCTCAGGTAACTGCATTTTTTTAACCATTCATTGGTAACCACAATGGTTCAAGGTAGCTTGGTTTTAATGCAATGTGCATTAGAAAGCCATATAATTGACCCTTGAACAACATGGATTTGAACTGCATGGGTCAAATTATACGGTTTTGTTTTGTTTTGTTTTGTTTTTTTCAACCAAATGCAGATCAAAAATAGAGTACTCACAGAATACAAAATGCATATATGGAAGGCCATATATGGAACTCTTATAGGTGAGTTCCACAGGTCCAACTTTGGGACTTTAATATGCTTGGATTTTTGTATTCTTGAAGGGTCCTGGAATCAATTCCCCATGTATACCAAGGGATCACTGTAACTGCATCTCTCCTTCAAGTTCCAGTGACCATAAAATCTTCCCTAAAAGAGATTCAATCGTGCACTGAAAAATAGTCCCAGGATTAGCAGTAGCCAATAATTTAGAGGGGAAAAGAGATCATTGACAAAGAGCAGAGGATTTGAACAGATGGCACTTTTTAAGAATCAAGTGGGTGCTTCCAGTGGACAGGACTGGCAGCTGCATAGGCTGCAGATGTCATTTGGGTTTCACTCCCATCTCAGACTCCACTGTGATTTGCCCAGGAACAACTCCAGAGTGGAAGCACTGGACAGCTGTCCCTCCCAACTTCAACACAGCATCATTTCATAGAATGCCAGATAAGCTTAGTTGCTGCATCACACCATGATTCTCCTGGGCTCCTACAAAGTGCCAATGAAACATTCTCCCCAAAATCAACAACAAAACAAATGGCAAAACAGCCCTCCTGTCATGCAAGCTAAAATTCTACCATTAGAATCATTTATTCCATATAAGGATTATATCCAGATCGAGCCCAGAAGCTCCCTATTAAAAATGAACAGAACAGGACCAGGCCCGGTGACTCATGCCTGTAATCCCAGCACTTTGGGAGGCCGAGGTGGGCAGATCACTTGAAGTCAGGAGTTTGAGACCATACTGACCAACATGGTGAAACCCCATCTCTACTAAAATAGAAAAATTAGCAAGGTGTGGTGACAGGTGCCTGTAATCTCAGCTACTTGGGAGACTGAGGCAGGAGAATCTCTTGAACCTAGGAAGTGAAGGTTGCAGTGAGCCATTATCGTGCCACTGCACTCCAGCCTGGGCAACAGAGTGAGACTCCGTCTCAAAAAAAAAAAAAAAATTAAAAGTTAAAAAATTTATCAAATGACCCAGATGTGGTCTGTTTCTAAGTACACCCTTTGTTCTCATTCTGTTTATTTACATTGAATGGCATTTCTTCTCACTCTGCAGAAAGAGCTCACTCACACCAAAGCATTAGTGAGCAGTAGGGTATGAAGTAGATTTTTGCAAAGAAGACTCGAGGAGAAGATCGACATCACACAACCCACTGCAGGCGCTTCACGTCCCCCTTTCACTGTTTATTTTTCCACCTTAATATTTGAGAAACTAAAAGAAGTTCAGCATGGCTGGCACATGGGAAAATGGGGAGAAAGGATGTCAAATGGTGAGGCCAGAGAACAGAAGTCAGATGATGAAAGTCACTTAATCCACGTTAAACAGTTCAGACTCCATCTTGAAGGGTGCAGCAACAGTGAAGTTCATGAGGTTTCACTAGGTAAAGAAGCGATCAGGGAGGACTGGATGGAAGAAAGGCAGCTTGAGAGCACAGGGTGGCTGAGGGGGTAAGATGCAGGAGCAGGACAAGGAGAGGAGAGATGTGAGAAGGCCATCTTCAGCCAGGAGTGGTGGCTCATGCCTATAACCCCAGCACTTTGGGAGGCTGAGGTGGGTGGATCACCTGAGGTCAGGAGTTCAAGACTAGCCTGGGCAACATGGTGAAGCCCCACCCCTACTAAAAGTACAAAAAATTAGCCTGTCATTGTGGTGGTTGCCTGTAATCCCAGCTACTCAGGAGGTGGAGACACAAGAATCACTTGAACCCAGGAGGTGGGGGTTGCAGTGAGCCAAGATCGCTGGAGCCACTGCACTCCAGCCTAGGTGACAGAGTGAGACTCCATGTCAAAAATGAGAAATGAGAAAGAAGGAGAGGACGAAAGGAAAGGAGGAAGGGAGAAGGGAAGGAAGGGAAGGGAGGAAGGAGGGGAGAGAGAGAAAGAGAGGGAGAAAAGGACGGAAGGAGGGAAGGAGAAAGTGAAGGAGGGAGGGATGAAGGGAGGAGGGAGGGAGGGAGGGAGGGAGGGAGGAGAGAAAGAAAGCCAGCCAGCCGTCTTCACCAAGTCAGGGTCTAGAATGGGACTGGTCTGGAATAGGGTTTTCAAGACAACTTCTTGTTGGCTGGGAAGATCCCACTCAAGTGAGTCTTCCCTAGTGAGAAACTTCCTCCCTTTTTCTCTTTAGCAATTATAGAAACTCTAGAGGTATACCTACTTGTTCTTGTTGGTTTTTTCTTTGCTTTTTTTAGAGACAGAGTCTCACTCTGTCACCCAGGCTGGAGTGCAATGGCACCATCTCGGCTCACTGCAACCTCCGCTTCCCAGGGTCAAGTGATTCTCCTGCCTCAGTCTCCCAAGAGCTGGGATTACAGGTGCCTGCCACATGTCCAGCTAATTTTTTTGTATTTGTAGTAGAGATGGGGTTTTACCATGTGGTCCAGGCTGGCCATACTTACTTGTTAAAAGAATCACTGATCCATTTTATGATTTAGATAATTTTCAATTAATCTCAAAAACTGATATACATGTTATCTATGTGTGAGTGACCTGTGTAAAGTAAACTTCATTATTAAATGAGCTATTTGTATTAAACCACAAAAAAAATTCTTCTTGAGATACAGAAATTGTTAAAGGACAAATGTTTATCCCTTGAGTATTTTTAGCATTAGGAATTATGTGTTAAATATTACTTGTACCTAGCTGCAATTTACGTAAGAAGGGAGTCAATCTTATTATTTTATGTTCACATCACATCAGTATCCCTACAAAAAGACAAAGGTGAAGAAAAAAACTGTTGCTATCACCCCCAAGACAGACATTTTTTCTGTCTGTTTTATTATTCATGGATATAGTTACTTAAATATTAGCTTCTTCCTGATCCCTGTTCTGATGGAGAATGACATTAGAAAAATGCTACACATCAATCTTGGCTCTATGGATAGTTTCTTTTCAATCACTCACTCATACCAAACGGGCTTTGCTCTCAGTCCTTGAGAGAAAGCTGACAAACTATTTCCTCTAGCTTCTACCAGCAAATCCTTCATTTTGAATATGTTTCTTATCCCAGATGCAGCATCCAGTGTCTTTAGATTTGAAGAACGTAACTAGTGTATTTAACACCTGATATATTTTCAGAGCTTTAGAAATATAGCTGCTTTCTTTTAAAATATTTATGTGTAATACCTCCTTACAGCTGGTCTCAATATGATGCTTTATTGTGTAGGAAAACACCCCACATACAAACAGTGGAAAGTACTTTAAAATCATTGCTTCAGTCTCTGACAAAACACCACAGAGACCGTTTATAACACTTATCAAAACTTACTAGGAATCCTCTTCCCTCATCTGTCTTCCATAAACTCTGCACTTACCCAGTCCAGCTGCGCAGTTCAAAATCACTCTTCCTCTCTCTCAAAAGTTCTCCAAACTTTTCCTCGAATCCAGCATATGCAGGCTCTTTGCATTTTCTCTTCTCTTGATTGTTCTCTTCCTTAGGTAACCATTTGTCTTAGCCAGTGTGAATCGGTTCAGCTGGCCAGAATATTTTCAGATCTCCTTTACCCTTCACCCTGGTCGGTATAACCCAGCAGGCCAAGATAGAATTGCTGTTTTTTTTTTTTTTTTTTGAAACAGGATCTCACTCTGTCGCACAAGCTGGAGCATAGTGATGCAGTCCTGGCTCACTGCAGCCTCAAACTCCTGGGCTCAAGTGATCCTCCCACCTTGGCCTCCTGAGTAGCTTGGACTATAGGTGCACACTACTATACCCGGATAATTTTTTTTATTTTTGTAGAGATGAGGTCTCTATGTTGCCTAGGCTGGAGAGTTGTCTTTAATGGAAGAGAATGATGTGGGATAAAGCTGGGAGTGTTCCTATGTTGTTATTTATTTCACTTTTATTTTTTTTCTTTTTACATTTCAGCAAAAATATACCAACATTGTTAAGGAAATCAAAGCAAAGGATCTTGAAATCAGGATACACAAGAAGAAAAAATGTGAAATTTTTCGGAGGTAAAGTAATTATGTGATATTTTATCTATTTAGGTTAGGGAAAAAACCTGATATTTATTTCATAAGTTTCAGTAAACACTTTGTATTTTTACAGACTCAGAGAATTTGCTAAGCTGTATGACACTGTTCGAAATGAAAGAAACAAATTTGTTAATTTACTCCACAAAGCTCACCAGAAAGTAAATGAAATAAAAGAAAGGTATAAAATGTCGTTAAATGAACTTGAAATTCTGAGAAATAGTGCAATTAGTCAAGAAAGGTAAGTGTTATAATAACTATTGGCCTCCCAAAGGCTTGTTTTATGATTCATTTGAACCCTAAAAATCCTGAGGATAATAAGACAGAAAAGAGGCAGAGGCCGCAGTGAGCCAAGATGGCGCCACTGCACTCCAGCCTGGGTGACAGAGTGAGACGCTGTCTCAAAAAAGTTTAAAAAATTAAATTAAAAATAAAAATAATAGCATTTTAGAAAGTCAGAAAAGCCCTTGTTCAAACATCTTATTTTATAGAATCATAATCTATTATGCTTCCATTGTTTGGGAGTCATGTTTTTAATGAATGAAAAACCATACTATATAATGATGCTTACTATGATGATTTTCACCTGCCCAATTAGAAAGAAAAGCACAAATCTAATAATTAGGATTTGGAAGTTAGGAAATAATCAAATCGTTTGTTAACCAACATCCCCTGGTGGTTGATTTAAAGCATCTAATGTGTTGTGGGAGGCAATACCTTATAGCAGAATGATGAAAAGAGGTGATGTCTAGACTCAAATACCACCCCTGCCACTTATTACCTGTGTGACCTTGGACAAGCTCCCTTGTCTCTCTGAGCTCACTTCTCTTATCCATAAAAATAGTCCTCATTTCATGCGACATTTTGCTACGTAATGAGCTAATCCATATGAAAACATTCAGAAGAGTTTCTGGCAAATGGTTATTTTCTTCGTTTATTGTTTACCATGTGCCAAGATCTGCTGGATTCTTTCACCTATGTTAGTAATTGGTACATAATCAGGTCACAAACATTTTCTGGTGGCCATTATTGCCCAGTTTCCTTTCATAAAGCGACTATAAAGTGGCCCCATTTCAGGGGAGGGAAGCGGATGAAAAGGAAAATATAATTTCTGAATCAGGTTCTCGTCTAATATGAAAATAAAATACATTTATAGAGGCCATGCATTCATTCAGCATTTATTGTGGCCATAGGCCGAGTCAGGCACACCTATGCCCAATGGACATTATCGGATATAACCATCTCTCTCCTCAAGACAGCAGTCTCCTGGGAATGACAGAACAATAAATGAATGACTGCAGTCTCTTGCTTTAATAAAGGGAGGCAGTAGAATATTGGGGCACAAAGGAAAGATGTTCTAATGTGGAAGGAAAGAAAATCTGAGACCCGGAAGGACTATGAAAATTCCATATCACATGATGAGTATCATTATTACCAGTGTCGTCATTTCAAGGGCTACACTAAAGCAAGGTCTGCTCTGTTAGTGCTTGTGTTTTAGAAGCCTTCATTGTTTTTAAATAAACTAAAGAAAATTATAATCTTATCCACTGTCTTATTATTTTAAAAGAAAGCTACAAAATTCCATGCTGAAACACGCCAACAATGTTACCATCAGAGAGAGCATGCAAAACGATGTGTGCAAAATTGTATCAAAACTTCAGGAAATGAAAGAAAAGAAGGAAGCCCAGTTAAATAACATTGACAGACTTGCCAATATGATCACAATGATTGAAGAGGAGATGGTGCAGCTTCGCAAAAGATACGAAAAAGCTGTTCAGCATCGAAATGAAAGGTAAAATCCAGGTATAAGAACAGAACACCAGGGATCCAATTTAGGAATGTTTCTCTACCTAGACTTGACAGTGAATAGTGAGAGAAATTTGATATTCAGGTTTCATTAGCCTTTGGAGAGGAGGGACTGTGTGTTGTTTTCCCTGAGAATAAGAAATGCTATCCCTAATACGAGGCACAGTGGCTTTCACCTGTAATCCCAGCACTTTGGGAGGCCAAGGCAGGTGGATCACTTGAGCTCAGGAGTTTGAGACTAGCCTGGGCAACATGGTGAAACTCCATTCCTACTAAAAAATATGAAAAATTAGCCAGGTGTGGTGGTGGGTGCCTGTAATCCCAGCTACTTGGGAGGCTGCAGCACAAGAATCTCTTGAAACCGGGAGGCAGACATTGCAGTGAGCCGAGATCGTGCCACTTCCCTCTAGCCTGGGCAACAGAGCGAGACTCTGTCCACCCGCTCCCCACCAAAAAAGAAGAAGAAATAACTACTGTCCTCATAAACAGGCTAAGAGGAGGGGTTTGGGAATTTGCTTGCTTGAAGATCAATGTCCTTTCCTAGACGGTCATTCCTGCCTCTTATAATACCAAATTCTTTCAGCATAATTGACATAAGTAAGTGTGGAACTTGTACCCATTTTTGTGGTAGGTTTGGTCTTACTATATTTACTCAGCCATTCTCCCAGTTCATTTGCTCAGCATGTTAATAAGACCTTTAGGAGTAGCATTATTTCGTCCAGGCTGCAATTAAATCAGGAGAACTTGATCTTGAGAAGAGCCTTTGAAAAGAAAACAGACAAAATACAGAGTTATTTTAGCCAAGTACAACTACGTGCATGCATGTTTTGAGGGAGGGGAGTCACAGAAGCAATTAAAGGAAGAATTCTGAAGTAATGGATATGCATAGTGTGTGGGAAGACCTTTGAAGAACAGCACATTTCCAAAGGGCTGGTAGGTTTCTTCTGGGGGGAAAGAATGTTATTTGGCTCCTGGCACAAACCAAAGCTTTTGGACAAACAGTGTACACCCAGGCACTCCTCAGATCAGCGGGGCATGATCGGTCATGCAGACCAGAGCTGCTGGAGCTAGAACATTCTTACTTTGTTTCCTCCCCATATTCTCCTTTCAAGAGGGGTTCTTCTCCTGGCATGGTTACAAAACATAGATTTTTGCCTGTTTATGGGGAAATTACAATCAGAAATATTCAACTTGAGAAGAAACTAATGGGCCTAGCAACTTAATATAGAGCAGACGCACACCAGAGCTGCATCCCCTGGCCCCCTGCCTGTGTGTTTCTAGCCAGGCCTTGGTTGGCAAATCTGACCCAAGAAAAGGATCAGCAGAAAATCGGACTGTGGGATCACTTTGTTTGTGCATTGGGAATGGCATTCTTTCCCAGCCCAGGAAAACCTTTGGGACTTGCAGAGACACTGTGGCTAGCCAACCACATGGTCGGCCTCAAAGTTGCAAGGCTTAGTAACCCTCCTATCCCTACAGAAATCCGAAGTATGGATGCAGTTTAACTAGAAAGCCATTGATAACTATTTGTCACCCTCTGAAAGTATGCTATGTTGATGTACATCTTGCATCCAAAGCTGAGGGAACCACGATGACTAGTAAAATGGTAGTTTCAATGCCCACTTAGCCTCTGCCTCTGAATTTGACCATAGTGGCGTTCAGCTGATAGAGCGGGAAGAAGAAGTATGCATTTTTTATGAAAAAATAAATATCCAAGAGAAGATGAAACTAAATGGAGAAATTGAAATACATGTCCTGGAAGAAAAGATCCGATTCCTCAAACTGAAGATTGCTGAGAAGCAAAGACAAATTCGTGTGACCCAGAAATTGCTGCCAGCCAAAAGGTCCCTGGATGCTGACCTAGCTGTGCTCCAAATTCAGGTGGGTGAGTGATCACGGGACGCTTCCTCAGGCCATTTATGTTTTTCTGCCTTTATCAGTTCATGAATGAGTTCTTGCTTGTAAACCAAGCCATACTATTTCTGGGATCTATAAGAATCCATGAGTTCCATCTTGATTAAAAATGCATTTGGATGCTACTCTAGGACGGAATCTGTGCTTCAGACATCCAGGCTACAGATGGTCTTTTTTCTCTTATGAAGCATTTTCTGCCTTTCTTAGAATTTAGTGCCTCCTAGGACATATCTCTAGCTCAGCTTCCTCATAGTGATCTAGGCCCTCTCCCCTCAGCATAATGATGCCATTGCTGCTTCCTGGACAGATGTTGCAGAGGAGCTAGCACTCTCACTTTTCATACCCTGGCCCCCAGAACAAGAGATTGTCTAGAGATTGTTGCCTATTAGTAGTCAGCAGTCACATATGACTTGGCTATTAACCACCGTAGTTCTACGATAGCTTAGTAACCTGACCTCTGACGCGGCCTTTTTTAAAGTGGAATAAATCCAAAAACCTAAAACATGAAATAACAAAATAAATAAAATATTAATAAGCTATATAAGCTACTTTCTTCATATATGTTACTTGCGACTTGTTCTTAATAGAAATTTTTTAAAATTAAAAACTGTGTAGCCTAAACTTATTCCCATTAACTCAATGTAGCAGAAACAAATTCTAATCTGTAACATTTTTTCTAAAATGTCAGGTTTGCTATTTTTTTACCTGATAATAAAGTTAAGACATTTGGTGAATGAAATTTTGTAAAAGTATAAAAATTATAAAGAAGAAAATAAAATTCTATCCCCAATATATAATTACTACTAAAACTATCAAAAATCTGAGAGAGATCCTTTCATTTATTTTCTAGGTATACAAGTAAATGTTTTTCATTAGCTCATGCCCTAGACAGTTTTGGGTCCCCCTCTTTTTTTCTTTTTTTTTAAAATCATGTCAAGGGGATACATAGAATTTCGTGGGACTGGATGATAGGTCTGCTTTTATATTTTGTGCCGTTTGAATGTGTATATGCTATATAGATAACAGCCTCTTTCAGTTTGCACAAATATGCCAATGTTCTGATTCCAAGTGTTTTTGTTTTTTTTTTAATTTAGACATGAGTTCTTCCATTCATTTATTCAGTAAGTGTAGCCAGATTCAGATCAAGTGGCCAGAAAGTCCCTCTAAACTTCCACAGGCCTCCCCAGGCTTCCTGCGGCTCTGACTCCTGCTTCCAACAAAAGTTCATTTGAGGGATCGCCCATCAGCCGGCACGCACAGTGCCTGTTCCATTTCTGTGCCATGTCCGCCCAGGCATGGGACTCACCCCTTCCTCAGGCTACACCTCCACAAGACCATTCATGCAAGGCCTCTGTGAGCAGACTTTATTAAAGATGTGGGACAGTGGTATGTGGGGTTACATTACAGAAATGCAAAGCACTTCAATTAGATACGAGACATCCAAGCTCTTCTTGAGGGCACTCCATCACTGGAGATACTTCCCTGAGTACTAATACGCCATGCCGCACCCTTGCCTAGCTCGATTTCACTGGTTGGTCTTTCACACTTGCCCTCTCCCTCCACAGCCTCATCATCCCAGATTGCCCCCAGGAACTCCATACTTGCCTCATTCCATTTTACAGAAGAATTTGGTTCTCTCCAGCTCTTTCCCAAAATGTAGCTTCAAGTCCGTCTTTGCCCATCCTAAACTATGAAAATGCCTAGCAGCACAAAAGAACTTCAAATTCAATAAAATCTGCAACAGAATAATTTCCTCTCTATTGTATAAGCATATGTTTTGTGTTGACTACAAATCAATACTTCCATTCAGTGGATAAAATTGTTCTTAGAAAAATAATTGTCATTTTGTTATATATAACCAATTATCTAGTGTGAAATGTAAATTTACTTTTACCCAAGAGGGAAATACTAGGCATTTAATAACACTACTCACCCTGCCCGATGGTGAAATTTTATCATTTTGGTTGCACATGAACTGAGACCTATGGACTATGTGATATCAGTTATTTTACTCGACTGGAGTTAATTCTAATTACCTACTCAGCACCCATCATGTGTACCCTTGCAGGGCGTGATGTGGAATTTCGACCTTGAGGCAAGCCATTTCTGTGCTGTGTTCTGCAGTGCCGGATCCCAGTCATATCCTGCTATTTTTTATAGCCACAGTGTCTTGGGTTTTTATTTTTTTAAGTCTTCCCCCCCACCTTTTTTTTTTTTTTTTTTTTGCATCATTTTCCAGGATCCTCTTAAGGTTTGCATTTTTTTCAGCTGTCCAGAACAGTTTTTAATTATCCAAAAGTCTAATCCAAGGTTTATCATGAGTCTGTTCTCCTGGTTCCTGTAATAATAGCTCAATTTAGGAACCTCAGAAGTCACATGAACTATTTTGGGACACAAGGTCACTATTTTACATAGACAGAGTAAACAGTTTTTCCTCAAATGCCAAGAACAAAATAAAATCGAGACACCCCTTTGATAAGCAAGCACTGTATTTTTGTTCCTTAGTTTCCTAATTAAGGAAAGGGAGCATCAAGTATTGTTAATAATAAACACAACAGATGCTTGATTACATATATATGTATACATCAATTCTATATTAAGGACATTTAAGGAATGTAGATAGAGGAAAAAGAAAAATGTTCAATTATTTGTCACCATTTATCATTCTTTTCGTAGGGAGGAAGAGCATACATTTAAAAAATGCTACCTGTATCAGTCCTAGACATGTTGTAAAATACCGTAAATATATTACCTCATATATGATGGATCAACCCCATGGGACTGAGCCTTTTCTTCCCATTTGACAATTGAAGAAACTAAGGTTTAGAGAAGATAAATGATTTGCCTGAGATTACATAGGTATTCAGTAGGAAAAATGAAAATAATGCTTCTTGGCTGTCACCATGCTCCACATCATTCTCCCTATAAAACCAAAACTAAGTGTGGGTACCACTCCCATTTAGGGGTAGCTGTGTGTCTTCATTCCCCTCCAAAATCTCATTGAACAAATATAGTTGATACATATGACACTGTATTGGGGATTTAGCAGAAAAAAATACAAATAGCCCAAGCTTCTTCTCACAGAGTGTACATTAGGTAGATTCCATAATTAAGAATGTTTTTCTTTTCTTTGGGAAGCCATTAAACCTATTGCCAGCCAAGTGTTTTGAAATGAAGTCCAACGTGTTGGATGCTAGTTACCCTGGTCTCTCTAACAACCTGCAATGAAGAGGTGAAGGCTGTGTATTAGTCCGTTTGCATTGCTGTGAAGGAGTACCTGAGGCTGGGTCACTTATAAAGAAAAGAGGTTTATTTTGGCTCATGGTTCTGCAGACTGTGCAGGAAGCATGGTGCCAGCATCTGCATCTGGTGAGGATCTCTGGAAGCTTCCAATCATGGTGGAAAGCTGCCCTCATGACCCAAACACCCCCCACCAGGCCCTACCTCCAACATTGGGGATCAGCTTTCATTCAACATGAGATTTGGAGGGGGACACATCCAAACCATATCAGGCTGTATACTTGGAGCCCTGCAGCCACACAGCATCCCATGAACATAACACAAAATGGGAAGCAATCAAGGACTGTTTGTGAAATCAGCTTTTTCTATGACCCAGAAGGCACTGCCTCGCCTTGTATAGTCAATTATAGACGTCATAGTTGCAGTACCATAAATGAGCAAAAACATCACTTAACCAGGTCCCAGCTGATGGGATGTTAAGAAAACAGAGTTCTCTTCTACCCTGGCCTGGGTTGGTCCTACTGAAAGACTCTAAAAGACCCTGCCAATGTGATTTTCAGATTTACTGAGCTAGAGAATTCATTTTAAAGTTATTGTTTCTTTCTTAATAGTTTTCACAGTGTACAGACAGAATTAGAGACCTGGAGAAAGAGTTTGTAAAACTTGATGGTAAGAACAGAGCTCGCTTCCTTCCTGGGAAAGATCTGACCGAAAAAGAAATGATCAAAAAATTAGATGAGGTAAACATTCTTGCTTAAAATTGCCTCTGTTAGCCCCTTGTTGATATAGTTTCACAGATACCTATGGTGCTGTTTCATGTTATGCAGACAGACCTATCTTCATTATTCTAGTCACTAATACAGTCCTTTCACTGTAATCTAGTCACACATTCTAAGCCTGATTTGGACACTTGCCAAAAGAAGTTCCCATCCAATTGTTTTGAGATTCCAAAGGCACCTTTCTCTCATGGCCTAAAGGAGTAATTTTGGCATCTTAAATGGATTAATTGGTCTTCCTGATGGGAACACATCAGAAGAATGGTGACATGGACGCTAGATAGAGCCGAGGGGGCCATACTCTACCATGTGAGGAGGAACTCCCAGCCGTATCTGCAGGGGCTGTGGCAGGGGAAGGCTTGACTTAACCCAGCTCTAAACACTTCCCAGACGTATTTCGTGGGGGTTGAGGGGAAATAGCGCTCTAATTAGGAAATAAGATTTTGTCTATATGACTTTTTTTCTTCCTCTTGAAATTGTTTTCAAACATAGCTGGAACTACAACTGGCCAAGAAGGAGGAGAAGCTGCTGGAGAAGGATTTCATCTATGAGCAGGTCTCCCGGCTCACGGACAGGCTTTCCAGCAGAACTCAGGCCTGCAAGCAGGACACACTGCTCTTAGCCAAGAAGGTTGGCCTGAAATCCTGCCTTTTCCCTTCTGCCTTGCTCCTTTATTACCTTTTCTTTTCCGCAGACTGCTAGATTTATTGAAAGAAGCTCTGGAGAGATTAGGCTTTACAGCTAGGGAAACTTAGAAAAACGGAAGGATGGCTCAGAGAGTTGTCCAACATGTTTTAGTCTTACTCCCTGAATGAATTCACTCCACGATGGCAAAACCTAAGCTTTTTAAATGACAGTATACAAGTTTCACTTAGCAGAGCAACTACCCAAATAACAGCACTTGCTATCTTTGTATCTCATGCACAGAGTTAAAGCCTTTCCCGTTTCTTTTAAGTGGAAGGTCTCACTTCCCCAGTGATCTGAGTAGGGAATGGTCTAATCCAGAACTCAGCCAGAACCCAGAAATGGAAGGGGACTGTTAAAGAGAAATGCAGTCACACAACACCCAGGCCAGCTGCACCATGGAGGTGCTCAGCAGGCCCCACTAGTGAGGAAAGGCCAGGAACACGGAACTCCCTAATTTAATAAGCATAAGAGACCAGGATGGCAGATCCAAAGCCTCAGAGTGGGGGTGGGACTGCTAGATGCTACACTGAAAGGAGTAGCCAGCAGAGCCCCTAGAAGTCCCCCTAGACTCCCGCAGGCCTCCCGAGGCTTCCTGTGGCTCTGACTCCTGCTTCCAAAAAGGTTCATTTGGAGGATTGCCCCATCAGCCTGCATACCCAATGCCTGTTCCATTTCTGTGTCATGTCCATGCAGGCTTGGGACTCACTCCTTCCTCAGTTTACCCCTACACAAGACCGTTCTTGTGAGGCCTTTCATGCGTACCATAGAGCCATCAGAGGATTGGCCACTCACCTGGCCTCCGGGGCTCCTGGAGCCTCCCGCCAGTGCAGAGTTCAGCCAGTCAGTGGTAATTACTGAACACCTGCTATGTGCTACTCTCATGCTAGGCATGAGTTCAGAAACAAAGAGGAAGCTTACACCATAGGAGGCTCACAGGTTCTAGTAGGGAGAGACAGAAGAAAATAGATAATAGTAATGCCCACACCAGAGACTGTGGACTCCTGAGGGGAGCAAATGTTCCTCGTTCTTAATTTCCCTGATGCCTAGCATGTACCAGACTCTAGGAAAACATTTGTTGGATGAATAATAGTCAGTTATGTTCTAGAAGCACATGTGGCACACTGAACAAGAAATGACTATAACTCTTAGGCCATCTTTGCCATTTTTATTTGACTCTTATGCTTCTGCTCTGACAACTTCCACGAATAGACCAATCAGTCCAGTGGCAGGTTTGCATCTCACAACTTTACTTCATAAACTAAGGTAGAGTTGTGAGTTGCACATCTGCCACTGGAATGATGTTAAGGCTTAGTTAAGCTCGTGCAGTTCGCCTGAATTCGTATGTCTGGTGTTCATTTAAATAAATGCTGCCTTCCTTCCTTTTGCAAAATGAATTTCCCTTTCTTTGGGGGAAGTCATTTTTCACTGAGGCCTGACTTACCAAAGCTGATGGCAGAGTCGCCTGGAAGGCAACAGTAATGCTAGAGACGTGCACATGGCGGCCACTTTGCATAGCCAGGAAAGCTCCAGCACAGCCCAGTCCTAGACTAACAGTTATTCTCTCCTTTCCTTTCCATAACTTCCATGCTCTCCATCTGCTTCTTCCTCCTCCCTGCCTTTCAACGCCTCCCCCACACACACACATTTAAAATGATAATCTCACAGTATGCAGAACTGGAAAGTAGAAAGACATTCAGATTCCAAATCTGTGATTTATCAAAACTAGCCAAAGACCTTGAGAGAGATGGATAAATGATCTTAAAACTCAGTTTTCTCATTCGTGTAATGGGTATGATAGCTGAATTTGTTACGAGTGTTACATAGTTAAACATGTAAGTGGCCTAAACACTTGTAGGTGTTCAACAAGATGCACATCTCCTCAAGTCTCTCACTTCTTTCAGATAGCTAATAGCTCCTCCTGCAAATTTCCCAACAGAAATGGGAACAGAAAATGGAAAATCTCAGCTAAGACTTGGAGCAACCCAGAATAATATGAAACTGTTTTCTAATTTATGGAAGAGAATGGAAGTTGGCCAGTTACACAGACAGACACACAGACTCAAGTGTGCAGTAGTTGAGTGAAAAATGACTCCCCCCAAAGAAGGGGAAATTCATTTAAAAAAGGAAAGGCAGCAAATATTTAAAGAAATTTCAGACATGTAATTCACTCAAAGTGCATTAGCTTATCTAAGTCTTAGCATTTCTTATTTTATGAGTTGCAGTTGTGAATTGCACTAATGCTGCTGGACTGATCAGTAAACAGTCTGTTAGTGGAAGTTGTCAATGCAGAATCATAAAAGTCAGATAAAAATGGCAAAACTTAAGATAACAACTCATTGAAGTTTTTAGTGGTAGTCATTTTTATTCAATATATGGTTCCTAAAAATCAGTTCAGTATAGAAAAGTCATAAGAATTTATATTACCTACCCTTAAGGAGGCAAAGTTTGTATATAATAATAAGTTATTACATTTTCAGAGGCAGATAAATCACTAGTAGCAACATTTCTCTAAGCAGAGGTGCAGTTGTGACCAGGGTATGCTCTAATAGGAGAAGAAGGTATTCAACATTAGTTGTAGTATTTGGAAACTCATTTGCATGTCCCAATTTATCCTGGTCCAAGAACAAAGAATGAAATAGATTAAGAATTCATTCATTCCTTCATTCAGAGAATATCCAACTTTAATTTTGGGGGGGTGCATCTTATATTTTAAACACTGTCCTGAACACTGGGAATATGGTGATGAATAAAACAAATAGTCCTTGTGCTCATGAAGAGGACATTCTTATGGGATGACAAACTGTAATCAAATAGCCAAATATATGTATAATATCAGCAGTGGGACATGATGTGAAGAAAAAATAAAGCATGGTAAGAGGAACTAATGAGTGTTGCCAGGTAGAAGGTATCACCACTGAACTGCCCCTCTGTGGCTATCACACTAAAAGACTCTACCCTTTATCAGGCAGAAAGCTGACAGGAACCCCTGATTCTAGTTTTACTTCTTTCCTGCCTTTTGAGATCTTTTTTTCCCCAAATTGGCCTGTCTTTTAACTGTATTAATGCTAAATAGCTGATATTAAGAGCTTTTTTTGTTTTGTGTTTTTCTTTTTTGTTATTATTATTAATAGGTTAAAAAACAAAACAATCGGGGCACAGTGGCTCATGCTTGTAATCCCAGCACTTTGGGAGGCCAAGGCAGGTAGATTGCTTGAGCTCAGGCACTCAAGACCTGCCTGGTCAACATGGTGAAGCCTGATCTCTACCAACAAATACAAAAAAATAGCCGGGTGTGATGGTGCACACCTTTGGTCCCAGCTACTTGGGAAGCTAAGGTGGGAGGATCACCTGAGCCTCTGGGGCAGTGGTTGCAGTGAGATGAGATCACACCACTGCACTCCAGCATGAGTAACAGAGTGAGACCCTGTCTCAAAAACAAACAACAAGAAAAAAACAAGACAAACAAACAAAAAAAACCTCCAGGAACAGCTCTCATTCTAAATTATTGACTAAGTTTTCCCCAGCTTGGCTTGTGCATGTTTCTGACCTAGTAATGATGCACACCAAGAATTACAATCAATAATGCAAACATGTCAATGTGCTTGTTTTTATTTAAAAAGTCATTTCAGATGCAGAACTTCTGCTGATTATCTTATATAAGCAAAGAGTAACTTGTGTTCTACCAGCTTTTTACCCTGGATAAGTGACAAACTAATAAGGGCAAATTAAGCTAGAACTTAGGCATCGAGAACACTCTTGGCTGGGCACGGTGTATCATGCCTGTAATCCCTGCACTTTAGGAGGCTGAGGCAGGAAGACTGCTTCAGCCCAGAAGTTCAAAACCAGCCTTGTCAACACAGCAATTTCCCATCGATACAAAAATAATAAATTAGCCAAGTGTGGTGGTGCATGGCTATAGTCCTATCTACTTAGGAGGCTGAGGCAGGAGAATCACTTGAGCCCAGAAGTTCCAGGCTTCAGTAAGCTATGATCAGCGTAAGCACCAGAGCGAGACTTTGTCTTTATTTTATTTTTAAAAAAGAACATCCCTTTACCTCTCCTTCTTACCTTTTAAAAATGGGCACTGGCTGGGCACGGTGGCTCACGCCTGTAATCCCAGCACTTTGGGAGGCCGAGGTGGGTAGATCATGAGGTCAAGAGATCAAGACCATCCTGGCTAACATGGTGAATCCCTGCCTCTACTAAAAATACAAAAATTAGCCGGGTGTGGTGGCTCGTGCCTTTAGCCCCAGCTACTTGGGAGGCTGAGGCAGAGGAATCGCTTGAACCCGGCAGGTGGAGGCTGCAGTGAGCTGAGATCGTACCACTGCACTCCAGTCCAGTGCCAGAGCAAGATTCAGTTTCAAAAAAAAGGGGGGGCACTAAACTATTCCCTTCAATGTTACCCACCTTGCAATCTAGTAAGTAGATAAACAAATCCTTTTCCTGTTGTCTCCTCATCCTTACTTACACAACTAGTGTGCTTGGCTCAATCTCTGCCATCTCTTTCAGTTCTTAATTTCTGTGAATTCCAAGTTAGACCCTCCCTCCTCCAGACAAAATGTACCCTGCCATTACAGACAGCCAGTAGCCTTCCATTTTCCTAAGTCTTCATGGACTGTATAAATAGACTAATCCTTGGGCTCTTTAATTCTAGATGAATGGCTATCAGAAAAGGATCAAAAATGCAACTGAGAAAATGATGGCTCTTGTTGCTGAGCTGTCCATGAAACAAGCCCTGATCATTGAACTGCAAAAGGAAGTCAGGGAAAAAGAAGACTTCATCTTCACTTGCAACTCCAGGATAGAACAAGGTCTGGCACTCAGTAAGGAAATTGAGAAAGAATGGTTGAAGGCACTTCGAGATGAAGACATGCATGCCTCGGCCATGGCTGAAAAGTCTCGGGTAGGCTTTGGCTCCTGTATTGCATTTCTAATGTGTGCCAGTGGGGGCTGCTTTCAGGGGGTCAATTGCCCCACAATATAAGTTTCCCCACTCTACTACACATAGTCCCCACAGTCATTAGAAAAAAGTGTGTTTATGATATTCTATAAGTCAAAATGCCACAATACTCACTGAAGAACACTTAGCAAGCACAAGGCCCACCCCACAGCCTTACACCCTGAGCTGCCGAGGCTGAACATCATGGCCTTCCATCAGCATAGTGATGACCAGGCTGGCATCAGCCTTGTCAGTAACTCTTCAATCTCTGTCTTTGCACCTCTGCTCAGACCACAGCTGACTGTCCGTGTTCATCTGCTGTGGCCTCCAGCCACATTATGGTTGCTCTGCCTTCTGCACATGCTTGGTGTACATCATAGGCCTCAATCCTACCCCTTTCTTTTCCCACCTTAGGCCTCTAGCCTAAGGCTAGGTCTATCACTGACTCACTCTGCAAGTTAGATACCAGATCTTCTGTCTACCCCCATGGCCTATCAATATTCTTAGACTGGAATTAGGCATCTCTTTCCAAGGAGTCTACATCCTCCAGATGTACAGCTCACTCAGATTGTCAAGTGGATAGCACCAAAAGGGTCCCTATTTGCTCCTGAACCCAAAACAAAGCTTCATTTGAAACACACTAGGAATACCTGAGCACAGGTATAAATTACCTGAATTATAATCTCCACACCACCTGGGACTATACCTTTTAGCGTATTCAGATTTTACCTGTGGTGTGCCACGGTCATTTATCAGTTGGAGGTCTTTTCAGTGCAGTAACAGATTATTCTGTTTTCCAGAGGCACAGACAAAATCTTGAAAATTTTGAGGCTCAGGGCAAGCTGCTGACCATTTTCCTCCTCTGGTTCCACTTTATTCCTTGGTCTCTTCCTTTGTAACATTTGCTCACCAATGACTTACCAAGGGAAATACGTTGCTCTACCTTTGTCAAAAACAGGGAAATAATTAGTGCTTGATGACAGATACTGAGGTGGGAACATAGTTAGGACCAACCAAGAAGTCTTTGAAAAGCCCTAAACCCCAGGAATATAGCCCATTCCAATGAGATGTGACACGTGTGTGTGTGTGTGTGTGGTGTGTGACTCCACCCTCCTGCCCTTCCCATCCCTTTGGGGAGTATCAGTTGCACAGTCAAAGACTGTCCAGACCAGCTGCGTCTTTAGGGACCTAAGGATAAAGTGACTTCACTAGAGTTTTCAGAGAACTGAAAAGGAAAAATCCTTCTTTGCAGGAGCTCTCGGAAAAAGGTAAGCGCAAGCTGCCTAATGGTGTTTACACGACTGCAGAGCTGCGTCCAAATGCCTACATCCCAGAAGCAGATGACACTCTTCCTGTGCCAAAACCTTACGGTGCTTTGGCTCCTTTTCAACCCCGTGACCCTGGAGCCAATATGAGGCACATAAGGAAACCTATTGTAAAGCCAATTGAAATCTGAATATGTTAACAGATCCAGACCTCTCAAGGAGAAGACTTCAGCCAGGCATCCTTGTACCCACAGCTGAAAAATGTGAGCATAATTGTTCTAAAATTATAGATAAGTAAGGTGTCCACAGTTAGTTAACAACAGATTTCAACATGGTCTCTCTTTACCCACCAACTACTATACCTTACATAACATTGAATAGGACATAGAACCGTCCTACATTCATGTCAAAGTATATATTTGAATTGCTTATATTTTCCTTTTCACTCTTTATATTGACTACATTCCAGAAATTTGTAGTAGGCAAGGCACTACAAAAATGCACTAAAAATAAAACAGTTTTCAATGAAGTATAGAAATGGGCAGAGTGGTCTTTGTTTATTCAAGAAAAAACAAATACTGTTCAATATGTACACTTTAAAAAGAAAGAATGACTGAAAAGGAAAATATTTCAAATATTGCAAAGGCATAACTGTTGAATAAGAAGTATCACTTAATCTTGTAAAGTATGTAAAAAAGTAGTGAAACTTGTCATGGGTTTTTTGCATTTTTTCATTTTATTTTTTGACAAATAATTGTACCTATTCATGGGGTACATAGTGAAGTTTCAATACATATAATGTATAGTGATCAGATCAGGGTAATTAGCATATATATCATCTCAAACTTTTTTATTTCTTAGTGTTGGGAATATTCCATATCCTCCTAGCTGTTTGAAACTATGTATTATTTTACCTATAGACATCCTATCGTGGTCTAGAACATAGGACTTATTTCACCTATTTCACTGTAATTTTGTGCCTACTAACAAATCTACCCCTATTCCTTCCTTCCCTCATCTTTTCCCCTAGCTTCCCAGCCTCTTATATCCTCTCTTCTACTTTTCACTGCTTTGAGATCAACAATGTTTAGCTTCAACATATGAGTGAGAACATGTGGTGTTTAACTTTCTGTACCTGGCTTATTTCACTTAATATAATGTCCTCCAGTTCCATTCATGTTGTTACGAATGACAGGATTTTGTTTTTTTGTGGCTGAATAGTATTCCATTGTGTGTGTGTTTGTGTGTGTGTGTGTGTGTGTGTGTGTGTGTGTGTGTGTGTGTGTGTATCGCCCATTTTCTCTATCTGTTGTTGGACACCTAGGTTGATTTCGTGTTTTGCCTATTGTGAATGGCACATAGTGAATGTGTAGTAGTTTTCTGAGGAACTTCCATATCATTCTTCATAGTGACTGTACACGTTTACATTGTCACTAACATTGCATATAAGAGCTCCCTTTTCTCTGCATCCTTACCAGCATTGGTTATTTTTAGATTTTTTGATAATAGCCATCCTAATTGGGGTGACATGATACCTTATCATATTTTTTATTTCTATTTCCCTGATTATTAGCAATGTTGAGCATTTCTTCATATACCTGTTGGCCATTTGTATGTCTTTTGAGAAATGTCTATTCAGATCATTTGCCCGTTTTTAAATCAGATTGTTTTTGTAGTCTTTTTTTGGTGTTAAGATATTTCAGCTCCTTATTTATTCTGGATATGAATCCCCTATCAGATGAGTAGTGTTCAACTATTTTCTCTGATTCTGTACGTTGTCTTTTCACTCTGTTGTTTTCCTTTGTTGTGCAGAAGCTTTTTTGTTTGATGTAATCTCATTTGTTTATTTTTTCTTTTGTTGCCTGTGTTTTGAGGTCTTATTCATAAAATATTTTCCTGGGCCAATGTCCTGAAGCATTTCTCCTATGTTTTTTTCTAGTAGTTTTCGATCCTATATTTATATAGTTTCGGGTCCTATATTTAGGTCTTTGATCATTTTGAGTTGACTTTTAAATACGGTGAGAGAGGACTAGTTTCATTCTTCTTCATGTGGACCTCCAGTTTCCCCAGCGTGATTTATTGTAGAGACTTATCCTTTTCCCAATGAGTATTCTTGGCACCTTTGTCAAAAATCAGTTGTCTATAGATAGATGAATGAATTTCTTGATTCTCTATTTTGTTCCATTGGTCTACGTATCTGTTTTTATCCCAGTGCCATGCTCTTTTGGTTACTAGAGCTTTATAGTATATTGGAGATGTGGTAGTGTGATACCTCCAGCTTTGTTCATTTTGTTCAGGATTGCTTTGGCTATTTGGGGTCTTTTGTGGTTATATACAAATTTTAGGATTGGTTTTCCTGTCTCTCTGAAGAATTCCATTAGTATTTTGATAAGTGACTACTTTCAATCTGTTGATTGCTTTGGGTAGTATTGTCATTTTGTTTTGTTTGTTTTTGTTTTTGGAGACATGGTCTTGCTCTATCACCCATGCTGGAGTGCAGTGACATGATCTCGGCTTACTGCAGCCTCCACCTCCAGGGCTCAAGTGATCCTCCCACCTCAGCCTCCTGAGTAGCTGGGACTACAGGGGCACACCACCACACCTAGCTAATATTTTTATTTTTTGTAGAAATGGAGTCTCACTATGAGGTCTAGACTGCTGTCAAACTCCTGGCCTCAAGCAGTCCTTCTGCCTCAGCCTCCCAAAGTGCTAGGATTATGAGTCACCATATCCAGCCAGAATGGCTATTATTAAAAAGTTAAAAAACTAAAACTAAAACATGTTGGTGAGGTTGCAGAAAAGAAGGAATGCTTAATACTGCTGGTGGGAATGTAAATTAGTTCAGCCACTTTGGAAAGCAGTTTGGAGATTTCTCAAAGAACTAAAAACAGAACTACCATTTAACCCAGCAATCCCATTACTGGTATATACTCAAAGGAAAATAAATTGTTCTACCAAAAGGACACATGCACTTGTACATTCATCAAAGCAGTATTTACAATAGCAAAGACGAGGAATCAACCTAGATGCCCACTGACAGTGGACTGACTAAAGAAAATGTGATACATATATACCATGGAATACAGCCATAAAAAGGAACAAAATCACATTCTTTGCAGCAACATGGATGCAGTTGGAGTCCACTGACCTAAGCAAATTGACATGGCAGTAGAAAGCCACATGCTACATGTTCTCACTTAAAAGTGGGAGTTAAACAATGAGTAGACATGGATATGAAGGTGGAAAAACAGACTATTAGGGAGAAGAGGGAGGGAGTAGAGGGAGAGTTGGAAAACTGCCCATTGGGTACTATGCCCACTACCTAGATGATGGAATCATTTGTACCCCAAACTTCAGCATTACATGATTTACCCATGTAAGAAAAAAATCTTCTTTAAAGGCTCAGTAGAATTGAGCAATGATGCCATCTGGACTTTTCCTTGTCGGAAGACTCATTTCATTTCATTTCTCATTTCATTTCTCATTTTATTTTTCATTTCATTTCTTAATTTCATTTCATCATTTTGTTATTTCATTTCATTTCATTTCAACAGAGTCTTGCTCTGTCTCCCAGACTGGAGTGTAGTGGCCACATCTTGGCTCACTGCAACCTCCGCCTCCCAGGTTCAAGTGATTCTCATGCCTCAGCCTCCCAAGTAGCTGTATGTTTGTAATCCTGTACTACCATGCCTGGCTAATTTTTGGAGTTTTTGGTAGAGACAGGGTTTCACCAGGCTGATAAACTCCTGGCCCCAAGTGAGCCACCCACCTCAGCCTCCTAAAGTGCTGGGATTACAGGCGTGGAAGATTTTATTACTGATTTAATCTCATTACTTGTTATTGATCTGTTCAGGTTTTCTATTTCTTCCCAATTCAGTCTTGACATTGTATATGTCAAGGACTTCATTCATTTCCTCTAGGTTTTCTAACCTGACGTATTATAATTCAAAGTACCCTGTAATTATTTTTTGTATTTTTGTGGTATGTGTTGTGACATCTCCTTTTTTACTTCTAATTTCATTTATTTGGGTCTTCCCTCTTTTTTTCTTAGTCTAGATAATGATTGCATGTGTTTATCTTTTCAGAAAACCAACTTTTATTTGTTGATTTTTTTGTGTTTTTTAGTATCAATTTCATTTATTTCTGCTCTAATCTTTATTATTTCTCTCCTCCTACAATTTTGAATTTGGTTTATTCCTGATTTTCTAGCTGCTTGAGGTATATCATTAGGTTATTTGAAATGTTCCCCGTTTTTTCATGTAGGCATTGGTTGCTATAAACTTCCCTCTCACTACTGCTTTTGCTGTGTCCCATACATTTTTGCATGTTGTGTTTCCATTTTCATTTATTGCAAGAAATTTTTAAATTTCTTCCTTATTTCCTTCTTCATTTTGGTCATTCAGGAGCATGTTGTTTAATTTCCATGTATTTGTATAGTTTCAAATGTTCTCCTTGTTATTTACGTCTAGTTTTATTCCATTGCAGTCAGATATTTGATATGATTTTGATTTTTAAAAAAATTTGAGGCTGGGTGTGGTGGGTCACACCTGTAATCCCAGCACTTTGGGTGGCCAAGGTGGGTGGATCACCTGAGGTCAGGTGTTTGAGACCAGCCTGGCCAACATGGTGAAACCCTGTCTCTACTAAAAATACAAAAATTAGCCGGGCATGGTAGCACCTGCTTGTAGTCCCAGCTACCTGGGAGGCTGAAGCAGGAGAATTGCTTGAACCCAGGAGGCGGAGGTTGCAGTGAGTCATGATCACACCATTGCATTCCAGCCTGGGCAACAGCGAGAGACTCCATCTCAAAAAAAAAAAAATTAAGACTTGTTTTATTTCTAACCTGTGGTCAATACTGAAGAATGTTTTATTCACTAATGAAAGAATATGTATCCTGCATTTCACCTGTTGGGTGAAATGTTCTGTAAATGTCTGTTAGGTCCATTTGGTCCATGGTATGGTTTAAATACAATTTTTATTTGTTGATTTTTCTATATAGATTTTCTGTTCAATACTAAGAGTAAGGTGTTGAACTCTCCAACTATTACTGTATTGGGGTCTATTGCTCCCTTTAGCTGTAATACTTGCTTTATATATATCAGTGCTCTGGTGTTGGGTACATATACATATATAGTTGTTATATTTTATTGCTGAATTGATCTCTTTATTAGTATATAATGGTCTCTGTCTCTTTTTACAGCTTTTGACTTGAAGTTTGTCTTGTCTCATATAAGCATAGCTACTCCTGCTCACATTTTTTCATTTGCATGGAATATCTTTTTGAATCCCTTCACTTTCAGTCTACGTATGTCTTTACAAGTGAGGTGAGCTTCTTTGAGGCAACATATAGTTAGGTCTTGGTTTTCTTTAATCCGATCCGCCAGTTGATATATTTTATTTATTTTTTAAATTATAATTTTATTTTTCCATAGGTTATTGGAAACAGGTGGTATTTGGTTACAGGAGAAAGTTCTTTAGCGGTGATCTGTGAGATCCTGGTGCACCCATCACCCAAGCAGTATACACTGCACTATGTATGTTGTCTTTTATTCCTTGCCCCGCTCCCACTCTTCCCCCCAAGATGCCAAAGTCCATTGTATCATTCTTATGCCTTTGTGTCCTCATAGGTTAGCTCCCACATATTGGTGAGAACATACGATGTTTGGTTTTCCATTCCTGAGTTACTTCACTTAGAATAATAGTCTCGAA